ACATGATGAAGATGCAAAGAAAAAAATGCATCATGAGTGGGAGGTTTGCCATTCTACCACCAACTGCATACCTTCATTTTCACCAACATGTTGATCATTGGCTCCAACCTTTTCCTGTCCGTGTTTTGCTGCCATACAAGTCATCACTCAGGTCTCTCTCTCCCTGCTTCTGCCTCACCTTCAACAAGTTCCACCCAGTGTTGGCCACACACTTGAACACGACTAGACAATGCCATTCATCCCTCCACCACACGCTGACAACCCTCTCATTCATCATGTCACCCAGCAGCATCCACATCCTCTTGTCATCACATTTTGCTCCAGCTTCCTGCAAGTGTTCATGCCAATAGGTGACAGCATAGTTGTTGACACCACCGTTGCTCCCTGCATTCACAATATTGACTAAGCATCTCTTTGCAATTTTGAAGTGCGCATCCTCGATCAAGATCTTGTATCCATCTGGCGCACGCGTCGTGATATAATCTCGAAATGATTTGTGCATCTGTGGCGTAGCGGCATCAGACGACGTAGTAGCACCTGGATTCAAAACACTGCGCATCCGTCGAAGGAAGAGCTTGACGTCGAACTCGTTTTCCGGTATGTCGGAAAGTAGCGCAACAATTTCTTTAACGGGCAATGGCTTTCGGAGCACGAGGATGGTTCCAACAACGTGCTGAAAACCACCTATTCGAGCAGGATCTCTGCCGTTGCCTTTTGCAAGCTCTTCCGCGACCTTATCCAAGTCCCCACCCACTGGCATGTCTTTACCCTTCTCCCATGATACCAAGATGTGTTTGTACAGACGATCGAGCCCCTCGAGGCCCTTCTCGCTAAATGAATCGAAGATTTTATCTCGACACGCCGTCCCATCCTGCTTAATCTTGTCCTTGATCCACTCAAGAGCGGTAGCGGCATAGTGGAAGAGACCGCTTGCGTTCTCGGATAGCTCCTCCAACTTGACAGGATCCGGCCAAGCATGCCAATCCGTGTGGATAGTGACAATTTCCTTCATCCTAGCAACAATGAAGTCGTGAACGTCATCGACAGATGACTTTGTCTGTAGGGAATACTGCTTGAACACCGCGTGATTGAGATTTGTATACTTGGAGATGTCTGCCCAGTGCTCAGGACGCGAGGTAATGATGAATCTAACGTTGTCTGGAAGGTCACAGTCGATCGGAGCAATGTGGGAGAGGAGACGCCTGACTCTCTCAGCCGCGTCATTCAACTCATCTAGGGCATCAATGAGAATGACGACCACATCGCGCGACTTAGAGAGTTCTCGGATGGGGTCTAACAGAAGAGAAGTGATTTGCTTGTCCGGATCCGCAAAATAATCGTTCTTCAGGGCCTTCTCAAGAACGCGAGCGGCTGCCGGAGAGGATATGGCAAGCTGCTGCGCGATAGTGGGGATCATATTGTTTGGATCGATCGTTTTGGGTATGTTTCGAGAGATAAAGTACTGAGCAGAGACGGGTGTGTCGCTCTCACAAAGATTCTCAACAATGGTAGCAGCAAGCGTTGATTTGCCGCTGCCTGGAATACCCGTCACCCAGAAGATACGCTCCGCGTTAGAAGGCTGCGATAGTAGCCAATCCCCGATAACTGCGAGGAGTTCCACACGAGTGCCGTCGGCGCAAACACTCTTCCTCTGATCTGTATGTTTGTAATTTGCAGCAATATGGCTTGCGAGCGTCTCTTTGATGGAAGCCTGGGTGGGATCAATAAGTGGCATCCTTAATCAGCAACAAGCGACCAGAAGCAAACGTACCAAACGACCGTCAATCTCCTGTTTCACCCGAATTTTTGTAACGGTTGTTGCCTGGAAGGAAACGGTTCAGAAAACTGACACACACCAGCAGATGTCGTCGTACCAGGAATTTCTCTTTCACGCTCGTAAACTTTGACTTCCAGTCCCCCAAATCATCGGATACCGACTTCCTCGACTGCCCAAATTTGAAATCAATGGGTAGCAAAGAGAAAGATAAACCTACGACATGTTCCTTTGCCCATAGGCAAATCTCGTTCACAGCCGCACTAATCATGCGTAAGCATTGTAACATCAGGCATTATTCAACGAAACTCACCAAATCGTCTTGAGATCCTCCTTTACCGACAGCTCCTCACCAACAACCCCGACAAGACTGCTAATGTACTGAATCACTTCCTGCGCAAATTCATATACTTTCTTTTGAATAAGAGGGATAATCTGGTTGAATGCAAGTTGAATGGGTCAGCGGGACGAAATGAGCCTGACAAAATGGCGTACGATACCGAGCTCAACCAGATTGAGCAATGCTTCAACAAGGGTTTTCGCAGGGAAAGGGCTGTCGGGTATGAAGGCTTTGAGTGTATCGAGAGTCTTTGATTTCAACGACCGATCGATAAGTCCCGCAAGTTTTGACCATTTGGAATTTTCGCGATCACCTCCCCATTTATGGAGCTGAGTAATAGCGTCGCCGTCAATGTTCCAAGCTTGCCACACAATCGTAGAATTCGTCTGGGTGCCATGGGCTGTGAGTCGATGTATTAAATTCAGAACGGATAATCGCACTTCAGTTTTCTTGTCCTCGTCTGGTTTAAACTGTGCATCTGCTGTATTTGCCTGTTCATGGATCGTTGGAGGCTTTTGGGATGGAAACACTTACGGATCGCAGCTATGCCACTTCCCTTCGGTGAATCTCCACGATCATCGATAGGCGTAGTTGTAATCTCTGGGTTGGTCCCCGCTGGATATCGGTTTCCGCTCATCAATCCTTGCCAAGAATGGAGACAAAAGCGCTTACCAACGCCTGCGTTACGTCCCAATTTCGGCAGCTCCTCTTGGGCCTGAACGGGCATTGCGGTTCTGGAAGGCTGTGAGGGTGCTCGACTGACACTCGGTTTGATGATTCCTTTTAATGCGTTCTTCAGTTTGGCACAGAAGTTGGGCTTTCGCTGGACTGTCTCATTCGAGAGGCCTTCCATGGTGGTAGGAGCAACGTGTAGGTGGAAGCAATGTGTAGGCGCCAGGGTAGCCTTGCATGGTGGGAAGCAACGTGTAGTGGCTAGCACAGCTTGGGCACAGCTCTCCGTCTCCATTCCATGTTGGCTGCTGAGACGAATGAAAAGTCGTCCTGTTCGATATGTACAAAAATTCCCCTCCAATCTCATGCAGCAAACCAGGCTGTTCAAGTGGGAAATTCAAGCGTTGCGACCCATGTGTTCAAAGACAGGAGTCCAATTGAATAACCGGGTACGTTCCTTGCCTCCCTTCTTCTCTCTTCCCGCTCACATATACTTCTAACCCCCAGCGTAATCCACAAACCCTGCCTGACCACACTGGTACCCGTCCCACCCGAAGACAAGGCCATCAAACCTCTCCTGCCTAACGTACCCACTCCCGTCGTTGGGTCGTCTACGTGGATCGACACAAAGAATGGACCGCCGCTAATACGCCCAAGGCACTTACAAATGCGTGGGCGAAGAAGCAGCCTGAGGCGAATGTGAATCCAGGTGTGAAGACTCCGCCTGGATTGGTATGTGAGTTTTTTTTCTTCCACACCTTGCGTTCAAAGGAAATGCGATGGAGGGCTGATGGTGCTACGTAGGGGATAAACCAAATCATGACGAACAATAACAGCAAGTCGAGACGCCCAGTGCAATTTCTCCCACTACGTGCAGGGGAAGAATGCGAATGTGTGGGGTCCCCCCTTCCAGGTGATGAACTCAAAACCTCGCCCAGTGCCACTTGGCCACCCAAGTATTGCGCCTAGCTCTGGTACAACGTTTGTGAGCTTTCTGTCTCCTTTTCTCGATTTTGATTGGTTCTAACGAGGTGTCGTCAACTTTGAAGGGGTCAAACAAGGTCCTGGCAAGCCCAACACACCTCCTACTCCGCACCCAACACACCCACACCCACTCCCACCAGTGTCGCCATCACGCCCAACGACTCCGGATGGTCCTCCAAACCCTCAACTACTTCCACTCCAACCGACAGCAAAGCCAACCCAATCGAACGCCTCAACGAAGGCAACGTCGTAATCTTCCTCTCCCCAAGCCAAGAATGTACGGTCTACTCTATCGAGAACGAGGACGATCTTACGGAGTTGGAGGTGCAGTTGGCGTACGTCGTGCGGTGGGAGAAGACTGACATCGCTGCTTCATCCACTGGGAACTTGTGGGACTGGTATGCGGGTTCCAGTGGCGGAGGCCAAGGGCGAGGAGGTCGGGGGCAAGAAGAGCAAGCCAACTATAGACCAACGAACCACCCCGACCCTACAGGCGGCCAACTGATGTGTCCCAGCCATGAGAACCTGCGTAAGAAGGGGATATGTTCTGGGATGTCGAGACTCGTGAGGGAGGAAGAGAGGAAGAAGAGGGAGGTTTGAAGAGGGGGGATGTGGTGGTAGGAAAGGTGGGTTGTGTTTGACTTTTGGTCTTTTGGTTTAATGCTCATTTAGTTTTTCGCGTCTTCAGCTCTTCGTGGTTCCGTTAAAACTTCGTTATATACTGCCTACATGCTATTTCGGCTCAATTGGGCCCAGGAGCTGTATGAACCGAAGTGTGAGACGGGGGGAGATGTTTATGTCGCCATGTACACGCTTTCCCCTCATCCAGTACTGTACTAGGCAACTTCATCATACCAAGCCGGAGATTCCGAGCCAAACTGCCATTCGTAAAAATCTTCTTGTCTGCTGCTTTGATGTAACGCAGGAATGTGCATATCGTGGTGTGCAACTGGCATTGTAGCGAGTCCTACTTTCTCAATTCAGCGAAAAATTGCAATGGCAAGGCATCTAAAATTGTCAACAAACCTCATGTAGCCGTCTTGGGCGCTCATCTTGATGCCTCAGAGGTCGAGCCAATGTCACCTGTACGGATAACGGCAGTCTCGAGGATGCAACCAAACATTATTTATTCCAATTAGATCTCGAAGTAACGTCTGTAAATGCTAAGAACTACGAATTTAATCCACTGCCGTTCACATGAAATCAGAATAACCACAATGTCGCTGATGCTCAAGGGGAAGGCTCATCACCACGACGTCCTTCCAACGACCAGGGCCCAGCGACGGGGCAACCCTGAAGCTCAGCAGCCTTCTGCATGACTTCCTCATGCGCAGCTGTCGGAATCATAATTCCAGTAAGTTGCTAAAGCAGAAGAGCGAAGAGGGGACGAACAATTCTCAAATTTGAAAGGGCCCTATCCGGACGAAAGAGAGTTGAGCAAGGAAGCCACAAATTCGACATGAACATACCATTTCCTCCAAACGATAGCCTGAGCTCTTCAAGCTACACAATACCATTAGCCACATCCATTCAACAAACGAAACAAAGACCTACTGAGGTCCTGGCATCTCGCTATACCAGCCAATGGCCACCAGAAACTTATTCTGAAGGTAGCCCAAACCGATGCTCTCCGGTCTGTACCAAGGACGATATTGCCATCTATCGGGATAGTCAGCAGCCACCTTTACAACAAGGAATCGACCTCACTTGTTCGGATGCAGTTTTGGACACCTCTCCCCAGTTGGCTTCGGTAGATCAATCTTAACTGGAAAAGAGGGGTATATCCTGGGAAGGAGGAACCAGCGTTGTGCAGTCCAGTTTATTGCCATGACGCCACGCGTTAGTGCGTGGAAGAACCATGGCTGAGCAGGTTGCCTGTGGTGGAAAGGAGGGTATTGAATGGCAGGCGAACGCCAGGCAGTGTGAAGTAATACGTACATCATCCCAACCCTCACCCTGTCTTCAAGCAAACAAAGCGCTACTCTTACAGCAAAGGTCCGGAGGCCGAAACGTATAGGAACAGCTGAGAGGAGTTCCGCCATAGTATACTCTGCAACCTCTTTGTTGGTCTCAGCCGGAATCATGTTCTTCAGCTCATAGTCCTACCGAGGAGAATGAGATACAAACACAACGGGATAACAAGACTAAAAGAGGACACACCCGACTCCATTCTATCATTTCTTCGCGAGACTCGGGGATATCTCGCATATTCATCCGTCTGCCTATCTCAGCCCAGAAAACGTAAAACGCCTCACACTCCATGGGGGAGAGCTTCCGCCATCCATAACGCTCTGCCCATCGCTAGGTAAGCAGGCAGATGATAGATCAGATGCGGCCATTACGCAACCCTTGCCAAAGAATCCTCTCTCACCGGAGGTTCTAAAGCGAACAAGCACAACGTATACACAAAGTCGTCGTTTGACTACAAAACAACGGAATTCATAAGTCTTGACGAAACGAAGAAGAAGACAACCCACAATTCTGTATCGGGAGTGTAGCCAGTTGACTCTTGCGAGAGCAATCATAGCCCTCGGGTCGTCTGCGGGCGGTCCATTCTCTGACGACTTGAAATTGGGGTCTAGGAAGCCAGAAATCGGGCAGGCCACCCAGGTAGCTATACGAAAGATGAGAATTTGAAGAAGAATGTAGTTAACACGAACCAATCAGAATCTCCGTCTGCACGTCCCAAGGAAAGCTATTCAGCAACTTGAGACACGGAAAAGCAGATAGAAAGACGCACATCCGCATAACGTTTAGAAACCGTCTCTACCGATTTGAATTCACCAGTCGCGGACAGTAACTTCGATATCGATGGCTGGTGGAGCCACCATCAGCACCCACGTTGGATGAAGAGTAAAAGTCGCCCTCACAATCGCATAGGTCTTGAACAGCGCGAATGCCAGCGAATAGTTCAACAGCAATGGCATGTCATAGCTAGTCGATACTAGAATAATGCGTTGGGCCTCTTCCGGGGTGAGGGTTCCCTCTTGATATTTCTTCATGTATTCCTGGTGGATGGCGTTGTATCTTCGCCAGCGCAAGAGACGGGCCAGGGCGAGATACCCGAGGACACCGATGATTGTGCCCTCGATGACGGTGGGGTAGCGTGCATAGTGACTAAGACTTTTCAAAAAGTGAAGGAGGTCGATTATAAACCCAGGGGGGGTGAGGTTGTGGAACTCAACCATGTCAAGGACTCAAGGACTTGAGGAAACTTGAGGGTGCAATTGAACGAGCGATATGTCAACTTGATGTCGACGATATTTTGGGCTCGAGGCTCGGGACTAGCCACTTTCGGTCTGACAAGTCTTACACGATCAGGGGCGTAGAAGTTGAATTGATCGATCAGCTGTCTTATAAAAGCAGTTGGAACTTGGTTTGAACCGTTTTTGCAGGTCGACTCCATCATCTGTCAACAGAAAACACACTGGTATTGTAGGAGTAAGCGAAAGTACGCGCCAGTTTGTGAAACAGTGCTCTTTACACCTCGGTACTTTAATTTAAGAAAAAACACAAGCGCTCATCGATTGATGGTGCCAGTGGTGGAATAAATGAGAGGTTGGCAGATGAGGCGGACCTTCCTAATCGAAGTCTTAACTGAGATGCTTCGAGGGAAGGGCGACGTCGCACTTGTGAGGGTCTCCAGGCAGGTGTCGAATGCAGGAAGGGAGGAATGTCAATGCCCGATGATAAACTGCCCACGTATGGGAGCGAAGTGAATTCCGAACAACAAGTTGACAACCCTAGCGCACAAAAAGCTTTTTCGCTCTCAATGGTCGAGCAGCGCCAACTCGACCAGTTTCTTGTTGATAGGCCCTGTAAGCTTCGCGAAGGTGATCCGGCGATAGGGGCCCAGTCTCACCACGACGCATTTGAATCTCTCGCGCTATATCAAAGAATTGAGCAGTTGAAAAACAAACGCAAATGACAAGGAAACCCGCGGTAAGCCCTAAGGCCTTTCCGCTGATGAATAAACAGCAATCAGAAAAATACTTACCTTGCTCAACGATCTCACCCACAAAAACCTTGGAAAAACCAGCTATGATTTGAGCGACAGGCTGGGAGACTTGGTACCCCAAAGTTTGCTGAATGACCTAAAGAAAGGTAAGATCAAAAGCATCATTCACGTTGAATCCTACCTTTCGGACGGCTTGCTTTGGCAAGGCATGCCTCCTATACGACTCGAAACGATCATACTGACCAGGACTGAAGTTGTCCATCAAAACTCTACAGCCAGTCGTTAACTTTATCAATACGAGTCTAAAGAAAGGACGCACTTTAAGTTGTCTTTAGACTGACTCTGCCATGACAGCTGGGCGGAGTAGTCGTCGTCAGCCATTGCAGGCAGTAGCTCGTCGTCTCCTTCCCCGTCTTCCTCGGCAGGGGCTTGACCAGGACGCGTATTAGCAAGTGCTGGTACTCCAGACAACATAGCAGCACCGGGGAAGCTGATGAGTTTGGACATATCCAACAATGGAGTGCCTGTTGGCAGTGAGCTGGTTCCACTAATGGCGGCTGCCGACGATGCCCCATCGCGGAGCTGCTGACCACCGCTTCCCGCCGCACCTCCTATCGCCGGAGACTGTCCAGGGCTAGCTGAAACGCCACCTTGAAGTATAGTGCCACCAGAGCCACCAGCCGTGCTCCCCTCCCCTGGACCAGTCCCGCTTGGCACTGCCCAGTGCACATAGTTCGAGCTCGTTCCTGTCTGCGTACTGCTAACATTTGTAAGGCCTCCTTGAGGTATACGCGGTGAATTGGTTCCTAGAGTAGAACCTCCTCGCGGTTTTCGACCCCGTTTCGCGCCAGTCCCTGGTGCGGATCCTCTGGGTCTGCCCCGAGTTGGCGGTGGCGTCGGCGTCATAAAATAGTTTGGTGCAGCGTTGGCACCCGAAGGTGTGCTCGGAGTCGTGTTAAACGATGCATATGGGGTCGTCATGGCCTTCAAGCTTCAACGCTCTGATCAAGGAGTTTGTTTACAGCTATTTGTTGGTCTTCGAATCCAAAGAGTGCACCGCGCTAGTTTGACAAATTCGCGCTCTCCGAGACTTTGCTTCTGTCCCCCGTCTCTTCATGATCATGTCATCGAATTGACAACCTTCTAAGGTTGGGAGCGAGTCTAGCGACGCGCCTCGCGGGTCTTATTTCCAGAATATTTATTTTTCACATGAGTCCAGGCTCTGCTCAAACTCAACTCAAACTGATTGTTACTCCCGTTATCGTATATTAGCTCTCCTAAATTGTGCGCGGTGAAGGAGTCTGTTCGTTGTCGACATCGCTAAAGCGCTGCGGGCGCTCGACCTGTATCGCCTCCTTGTTCCTGAACACAAATGTCATCGATTTGTCTTCGCGGTATAGTCTATCAATGTCCTCCAGGTGACGGTTCGCCGTTTCAGGGTAGAAGAGCCAGATCAGCTGTTGAGGTCAGGATAAATGGACAAACAGACAGCGCAGAGACGCACCGGAACAAACAAAGCGTTGAAGAATGCCCAGATTATATAAAAGTGCCATCCGAGGCTTGCAATGCCTCGGGGTGTTATTTGGACGACAACGTAGTTAGATAGCCTGCAAGGGATAACTTAAGAATATTTTGGGTTGCACGTTTTGTAGGCATATCATACCAGTTCGCCGCAGTTCCAAGAGCAGCACCTTTAGTTCGCATTGACAGGCTGTTGATTTCTGTCGGATATAGCCAGGGTACTCCCTAACGAGATGAGCATTATTGTCAGTAAGGTTTAATTAGTATATCTTTAAGGGTCCTCACCTGCCAGCATACACCAAAGAATACGTAGTAGAGGAAAAAAAACACCGTGGCACCAACCCCGAATTTTGACCCACTCTCCGAATCGTCGGTCTGAGATAGAAGACTACTGATGAAAACGTAGCAGACGAACTGTCCTGCAGCGCCCCACATCATTAGTTTCCGTCGGCCTGCCTTCTCAATAAGGAGCAGTCCACAAAAAGAAAATGCGAGATAAGACACGGAATTAACGGCAGATAATAGACGCGAGAGGTTGTTGGATAGGCCGACCGAGTTCTGGAGGACAAGAGGGAGGCTACGAAATGTTGAAAAGTGGCTGATTGTTTTGAGACCGGGGACTTACTAGTAGCTCGTGACATTTATCCCAACCAGCTGCTGCATTAATTGCGTGCCTAAATTGATGAATCAATTATCTGTCAACCAGTATGCAAAACTGAAAACCTCACCAATACCAAGCAGCAATCTTCGAATCATCCCCGTATTGCCCGTGTTCCCATGGAGGATATCCTTCCAACTGGGTGCGGTTTCTCTTTCGATCCTAATGGCATCAAGAATCTCATCCTTCTGTTTAACGATAGCTTCATCTTGGGCAGTAGCAAGGTCCCCTTCTAAAGCAACAAGGACATTGACACCCTCGTCCTCGAACCCGTGCGCTAATAACCACCTAGGGCTTTCTGGCAGCCAGGGAATTGTGGAAAAGAGTACAACGGAGAACACCAGCTGGAATGCGATCGGGAACCTCCAAGAGATGCTCCCTTGCGTGAAGCTAAAGCCGTACGTCATCCAGTTACTCAGAGAGAACCCTGCAATGTTCATGCTTTTATTCAAGTTGTCGTGCGTCAGTTCCTAGGGAAAAACAAAAGGAGGTGATTGACACTGACATCATTTCAAACACGACCAGTTTACCCCGCCACGCCGGTTTCGACGTTTCGCTCTGCCACACTGGAGCGGTCGCAGTGTTGACGCTTCAAATAAGAGTTTATTGCCATTTTTTTTGGATTTCCAAATAATCATAACGTACCCATTCCCCAAACCTATGGAGTCTTCGTCAATGCTGCGTGCTCCGTACTTCGAAAAAAGTGCGGCTATTCGTACCCGTGATCAACCGAGCGACAATCATTTGTGCGACTGAGAATGCGCAAGTTTGTAGGACGGCTCCGATTGACATGATGATCACTCCGATAAAAAAGGTTTTCTTTCTTCCATATTGTTCGCCTATAGGTGGAATAGGTATGAGCTTTCATTCCGCGTAACAGTAGTTTAAGAACGCTACCAAAGGCAAAGGCAGCAATGGCACCAAAAAAGCTAGAGAAATTTATCTGTCGTTTTACAGCAACTGAATGAAAGTATGCGTACCACCCAACATCGTACAAAGATACAATCGTCCCTTGGAGATTGGAATTAGGATTACCCATGGTGTCCAAGAAGTCTTGGGTGACTATTATGCCGCCAAAAACACCCTGGTCATATCCTACGGAAACGTTAATCGTAGTAGGCATTACTCTTCTGGTGCTGGACATACCAAAGAGTGTCATAGCTGTTGTGCAGGCAACGGTAACCCATATGTTGAGCTGGGTTCCAGTCATTCCGAAATACGCTACCTTTTCGGATGTCATCGTACTATGGAGGTTGCAGTGGTGAGTGCGTTAGAGGGGGCGAATGACCCACTAAGTACTCTGGAGTCGGAGAATGCTCGGTTTACCTGGCATCAGTATTCTCATCGAGCCTCGTGTAAGGGTATGACGACATTGAAGACATGATTCAAGCTTTGAGGAAGGCATTTCAGGTGAATTTCAAGAAAGCAAGCAAGTAGTAGTACTTCCCAAGCCCCTTTTGCTTTCAGTTCTGTGTCCCTTGTCCAATTGCTGAACAATACTAGTAGGTATATAGGGCAATAGTTCAGAGCGGGACCCGATGGCTATATTTAGGAGACGTGGTTCGGATTCGCCGACGCTGTGCGTGGCAAGTGCGAGCTCTCAAAGGAGAGGAACGAGGTTCTTGATCGGGAACTGTCTCCGAATGGGGCAAGAGCGGCAGGGTGCAAATACAAGAGCAAATACAGCAAACAAATGCAAAACAACAAACAGATGTAAATCTACCCAATGTAACCCATCGTGGAAGCTGAGGGTAAGACCCCCTACCCACACTTGTCTCAAGACTACGAGGACTCACCATTGAAATTGGGTCGACGAAATGACCATTGTTTAAGGCTATTCTAAATAGTAAAACCTCAACTGCTCACCAACTGCTCAGTGCTCGCAGCTCAGTGCTCACAGTGCTTAGTTCTCCTCAAGTTCTCCTATTGTCAAATTGCACCGTGCTATTATTAACCCTCTCTTGATGGTCCTGCGGAACGGCCACCTGATAACAAAAACTGGGGCGACGAACGATTTTCAGAGGTGAGGGCATCCAAGTTCTTGCAGTTGGATGTTGATCATTACAACGTTTAGGCTTATATGTAAAATCAGCAGGAAGCTCGCAGGGACATCTCCACCAGCTGCGGGGACATTTTCATCAGCTACAGGTCCACGACGCCCTTTCTCGAGCTCGTGGACAGCCTCGCATTGTAGCCCCCATCGGTCTTATCCTCGCAGTCGGCATCTGCGTCCTCACGGCGGGAATGACTGAAATAGGGTATCAAGGCGGTTGGTTTTATGTCAAAAAAATTACGGACCCAGGGAAGTCGTAGGACTCTTTGGAATTAGGTTAGGCTGGATATCGTCGGGGGCCTGATGAAAAAAAAAAAAAAAAAAGGACCCAAAACCTAAACAATTGGTTCGATATTATGATTCAGGCTCCACATACCCTCAGGCTCAAGAATACGATTGATATCACTTTCAAGTGTTTTTATTGGCCTCACCGACACTTTCGTAGAATACTGTAATATAAATTATAGCCACCCCCCAAGGCCTTTGTGAATACTATAGGCGGATATACAACAGAGATCGAGAAATGGTTAATAAGCCTTGACACAATGAATTTTGAAGTGCAATGCCGGTTCACCGTGTGCGTATTATCTATTTACCAGAGGAATAAAATCCCCATAAGACGGCGATAATCCAGGGAGAGCGCTGTGACGATGATTACCGTTTTGAAATTTGAATGCTATAGTACTAGATCGGCCCCTTGAGTATTTTCACAAAAATTGTCGAACTACTTGCAGCAGTTTCAGAATGGGGATTGAACCCAAAAATCAATTCGTGTGCCAGTGGGCGCTTAACCCAGGCGGCAAATCACAATACATGACAGAAAACCCGGGGGTCACTTGTGCTTTTCGTTGTAAGGGGTACACGTGCTTCATACCGTGTGGTTGGCGGTATATGAGTTTGAATGGGGAGGATGCTTTTGGTGGTGTCGGACTCGTAAAGGAGCTTTGAGGAGGCGGTAAAGCTATCCCACACCCAGTCCGATACACGTGTCGGGTGTATCCGACACGCAAACTTCATGTTCGAGCTGTGAAAGGTTTTAACAACAATAGCGATGGCATCTTCATTGTTGTGTTCGTCTGATCCCCGCGCTTTGCACGGGTCTCTGGGTCGGATGCAAGTTCCGAGGTTCCTTGAAGTTCAAGCGCGCAAAACAGGCAGATTAAATATTAACGTACATACACTCTAAGGTGGTGTTGGAACAACAAAATAAATCACAAGGTTCGTGAATGTCGTGTCTCGTCATGTCGTCTTGATGCCCCTCGAACAGCCGCTTCAAAACCCTCCCAAGCAGCCGTCCAGAGCAGGTTCGCTAAAAGCGCTGCATACGGAACGCGTCTTTGAATCATCCTTCTTTCGGGCCTTCTTCCCGTGTTTCGTCTTCGCCAGCGAAGGCGAGCACAACGGGCCGGTCTGCGTAATGTCGGATATCGTCATAGGGTATAACGCCGGACCATCAGGGAGAAGAGGGCCGCTCATCTGGGGTGGCGGTGAAGCGTCGGATGGCAGGCCATCGTAAATCGCAGAGGTGGTAGTGTGGTAGTCATTAAAACGACTTTGAACATCGTCACTCCTTGATCGGGGGTGAAAATAGCCGGAATCCCGTACCCTAGGCGAAGACCGCCTCTCCTCGTCGTAAACCCTTCCCCCGCGCTCTGGAAGCTCACAGGTATTAAGCGAGACGTCGATGGGTGCCCGATCATATGCATACGGCGAATGTGTTAGTTCAGTGGATGTCATGGTCGGCGTCGGCGGGAAGTGGACATGCGGCGAGTCCAGGACCTGGGAGCAAAACGCGAAAGGAAGTGGGTTGGACGCTGATGAGGCATAGTAATCTGAGGCGTCGGGGAAGTGCTTTAGCGCGGGCCGTGGCAACGTAGTTCTTGACGGTGGGCCATGATACTGGTCGCTGCCCATACGCTGGAGCACAGTAGACTAAAGAGAAAGTAGAGAAGAACAGCGCAGGCCGCAGGTGGGGCCTAATAAAAGACTCAGAGAAGGCTGAGGCTGGCTTGCAGCCTTGGTGAGGAGCTCGGAGATGGCACTTGCGATTGTTCCAATGTCCAGTTTTTATAATTATTTGTGGCGGCCAGCAGAGCCAGGCACGCCGTAATAACCGAAACCGACATCTCCCGAGCCTTGAGTTCAACAAGACCCTGGATGCCCATTGCCCACACGCGATTCGCAAACAAGGCATGGAATGGAGGGGCGACATTCAAGTTGCCGATTGACGACGAGATAGTTACCTAATCACTTCTGATGGTGGAAATGGAAAGTCGTGGGGTTAGGGTCATTCACAACTCTTCTCTCCACAACAACCACAGCATGGTGCGTCCTCCTCATCTCCGCCGCCGTTTTCGACGATTAACAGCGTACGTATGACAGGGAGGAGGCGCACGTTACCCATATCCCAAGGCAGTCTGGTCACCGGCTGGTACGAACTTCTTTGCTTCTCTGCCTACTCTGCCCGTTAACTCGGAACTACACAGGTGGCTGGTGGGTCCGACCATCGAACTGGGCTAGCAATACCGCCGTTGCGGCTGGTGGTATTTTAGCTGTGACGTATGCTGTGTGGAGTATCAGCGCCGCACATGAGGTGCGTTGCTTTTTTCGGACAAAAGGGAGCGCGACTGATGTTCTGGGTACGTTCCTAGAAGAGGGTGGTGCAGCCAACACGGTGGATTCCTTCAATGTTGGTGAGTTGGCTTATCTTCTTGCATGCTTGTACCTGACTTGTCTTGGTGTAGTGGGCGAAGGAGTTCGAGGAAGATGCTTCAAGTTCGGGGAAACAATAGACTTAGACGATTTTGTGTCGTTTTACCCCCAACCAATCAAATTTTACAAGCACGCCCATCTGCTCGAACTCAATTTTTTGCCGAAATTGGTCAAGTTTCTCTTCTACTGAGCAATCCACCGCACACAAGTCAACCTCCGAGCATGTCCCTCCTTGAGGATCCGATCTAACACAAAAACAGATTACGCATAATGGGGAAATTGCTTCCACTTAGCTCGCAACTCACCTCTCCAACTCCCGCTTACAAAATGTGTCCACCCTGGTCTCCTTCCACTTTTCCCCAAGTACATAAGTAAAGGCCAAGCAACTCTTTCAAGTTCTTTGTCGTGTATCGTGCTCACGCTGCGCGCTTGTCCAGGTGCCCCACGCAAAGCTGGGTTCGACTCCCGGACAGAGGCCATATCCATCCCCCTGTTGATCGGCTAGGGCGCGATTTCCTTGTGTGCGCAAAGCTAACGCTGATTCACTTTTTGTCAGGTCCTTTGTCCTTTCCGAGAGTTCCTTGCCGAGGCGCTGATCACGCAAAATCTGGGCTGAAGGAAAACTTCACATTAAGAGGTCTACTTTAAGTCAAAAAAAAAACTTGGTGTTACATCTGCATACTTTTACAGCCACAACCGCGCACACCTCACACTTCCCCCTTCTTCTCCCTCCCCTCCCCACCCCCCTTGACCGCCTTCGTCGCCTTTTTACTCCTCCTCCTAACCCTTTCCCCATACATGAAAAATATGTACGGAATCGGAGCGATAAGCACGCTAATCATCGCCAACAAAAACCCCGCCCACTGGAACTTCATGTTATGGAACATCGGTGTGACGAACACGGGCACCACCGCGCCCACCTCTGACCTTAAAAACGTCTTGGCCGCGATGGCGGATGCGGCGTACGCGGAGTAGGAGTCAATGATGTATGAGTTGGCAGAGACGTACAGGGCCAGCATGGCGAACCCGAAGAGGACCCCTGCGATGAGAGGTGCTATCCAGTGGACGTGGGCGTATGCCCCAGTCCAAGCGAATATGAACAGTGCTATTGGTAGGATCCTTTTTCGAATTCGAGGGTCAGGCAGGATGAGGCGGCAGGAAGGAAAAGACATACGGAGCCCCAAACATCATAGGAAAGAGCCTTGCCTCGGGGTAGTCCCCTTGCGTCGTCGCGCGTTTGTACACCATTTCTTGCACAGGGATAAGGCAGAGGGCGCCGATGATGCCTATCATGATGCTCACAAACGTAGTCCCGGTGATCCCCAAGCTGAAATGGCGGATCTCTGCAAACGCGATAGGGAAGGCGAAGAAAAGGAGGTAGAGGAGCGCGTATACGAATGACAGATCTGCACAAGTTCGTCGAATTAGCTCAGTTCAACACCATAGTCGCAAAGCACGTACAAACCGTCATACAGATGATGATCGGTTCGGTGAAGAGCATAATGAATGGCCTCAACAACGCGATTACCACCACTTCTTTGAACGGCTTCTTCTCCAGCTCCTCAAGAGTACGATACATTGGGTCCCCAGTCTCCTTTCTCAACCTTGCGGCTTTCTTCTTGAGCAGAACTGGGGCCAGGGTTTCAGGCATGACTAGGGTGAATAGGAACGTGGCTCCGACGAAGATAAACAGGACCCAATAAATCCAGCGCCAGCCTGCACGTTGACCGATCCAGCCCCCTATGATGGGCCCAACGCAGGGGCCTAGGCTGTGAAAGTGGAGCGGATGAGTGGATGGAAAAGAGAGGGAAGGGAACAAGGGACGTACAAGATTGTCCCCGAGAAAATTCCCATTGGAGCACCCCGATTTTCCGTCTCCCAGACATCCGCGATCGTTCCGCCGACGTTGCACATGGGAGCGGAAGCTGCGAGGCCTGCGATCATCCGTGGGACGATGAGCGTCCCTGCGACGTGGGCTAGGGCGCTAGGAAGGGTGAATATGAAGTAGAAGAACATGGAGATACAATAGATGGGTTTGCGTCCGAATATCTCCGAGAGCGGCGCCAAGAAGAGTGGACTGTGGGGAGGTGGGGGTGGGATCAAGGTGTGATGGAGGAAGGAAGACGAAGACGAACCCAATACCGAAGCCCATGACGAAACATGTTACGGTGAGGTTTGTGATTACTTGTCTGATGCGGAGCTCTCGCGTGGGGCCCTCTATGCTACGCTCTTTCTCAGGATCGGAGGGAACGGTAGAAGGACGGAAACATACTCTCCAGTAACAATTGAACTCCCTATCGCGACCGCGAGACACAGAAACGAAGCAGCGATGGTGATGAACCTACACCTCGCCTCGTCGTTACTTCGTCTCATCTCCAAAGAAAGGTTCAAACAAACCATTTACGCCCCTTCGTCCACTCCCTTGGATCTTCATGCTTGCCAGGCTCAAACTCAACGATATGATACCCATCGCGAGACAATTTTTCTTCAAGGTCTTGAAGGGAGACATTGTCAGGCAAACTGACAAACTCGTCTTCGTCCCGCGTCAAGGGGCGCGATAGGGCGAGGGAGAGGCGGCGGTCGCGACCTTTTGGACGGGAATGATGGCGGGCCTCACTTGGCGAGGTAGGGCGCGCCTCGGCAGCCTCTGTGGTTATGTGGCCTGTCTCTGGAGAGGTGTCGGCTGGTTTTGGGTTTGAAGGCGTGCCGGGTGTATTTAACGAGATATCCGCTGGCTCAGAGAAGAGATTGGTTGGCTTGGAGAAATCATTGGATGGTTGTGAAATATTAGCTGGTTCTGAGGACATATTAGCTGGCTCTGAACTGGTGTACAAGTCGGTAGAAGTGGGAGGAGAGCGAGAGCAGATTGAATTGGCGGAAACGCATTGAATATCGCTCGTCGGTATAGATTTGTTTCATGGTCACGCCTCAGTTCAATATTGTCACAAACTCTACCCGTTGTCTCACCAGCCGGAAAAGGCGAGACGCTTTACAGTGTTTTGCATGTGAGATTAGAATTCAAATCTCACGAAAACTTGTTTGTTCTTGTGGTCTGTGACTGATGGGGAGTCAAGGTGACCTCGAAGTCACTCGATTCGACGGCAACACTAGAATCAACATTCAATCATCGACGTAAATGCGGGTTCCAACCAAGTTCCAAGGGAGGGGACTCCTCCACTTGAAGAAATAAGGATCTAGTCGGAAGACTAGATCCTTTATCAGCTACCCGTGACCTTCACTAAGAGCGCTCTGGCAGAGGAAGTTCAACGTTCAACGCTGTGACACCGAGGAACATCAGTAATTGAGCAAATCAGTTTCCACGGGTTTCTCAACCCTGGCAACCTCCGAAAACCACTAAAAACCTCGAAACATTGAAAAATATCGAAACTTGGCAACCTATGTTGCCTTTGATGGAAACCTGCCGCCCAAATAGCGTAATATATACACGATCACTAGTCCCTGACCAGAGAAACCCTTAGACCATTCCTTTTCGGGTTTCCGGAAACCCCGGCAACTTCCAAAACCAGTAAAAACCCGGAATCTATTTTGCCATGTTACTGATGAAGGCAACATCACACATTACAACTAATACAAGAACAAACAACTTTTCGTGAGATTTGGATTCCAATCTCACATGCAAAACACTGTACCGAGCGGAGCAGAACTTGTATTAGTCTCAGGTACCGGGTAATCAAGTTCAACAATTCAAAACGGCCACTTGAATTTCTTCGTACTACGTCATGGCTGAACTACCACACTTGTATTTTCTCGATGAGAGGACGACAACCCGGACAACCTACTTCGGTGATCACCGCCATGACGGTGCGGATGCATGTGATGAATATGACTATGGGGCTGGTGATGGGCGCGAGGATGTCCATGCACATTGGAAAGGGCGTGGCAGCCCCGCAGTTGATCATGCTGACCATGCTGAACGTGCGAGTGGGTTTGCCCTCGCGAGTGGCAGTGTGGCGCAGGGTGGCGAGCCTGGTGATGGTGATGATGAGGTTGGTGATGAGTGTGGTGAGCTTGACGATGCGAATGATGACCGTGATGATGGGGACGGCCGTGGCCTCTTAGGTTGTGGGTGGGACTGAGGGGGTCAGCCAGTGATCCTATTTGACCAGCGTAACCTATTGAACCATTTGAATCGACAGTTCTAAGCAAAGACTTACCCTCGACGGGTGTATTGTTCCCGTTGCGTATAGCGGTATGGGACATTGCGTTTCCAGGTAATTTCTGACACAGAGGACTGCAGACCGATTCAGGTGCAGATGGAGGCGTTGGGCTGGAAGCTCATTGATACAGCTTGGAGCTGTAGACGTATATATATGCTCCACTATGACCGGCCCTATTACGGACCTCCTTCTGATCGCAGAGAAGGCGTGCCGCTACAAGTGGTCAGCATTTGATTAGAAAGACCTGCCCCCACCTTTGAGGTTCCCATTTCAAGCGATCAGGTGGTTTTTCTACAGGATCATTGCTTGATCTACACACGGCCACTATAAACTTGAAGGTTTTTAGCGTTCTAATTATACAGAACACGCGGCCTGTTATGGACACTGAACAATACTAACTGGGGTGATGAGAATCGATGATGATGTCCTCCGCCAGTTGGCTAGGGTAAACGGAACTTTCAATCATCCAGCGTGCCCGTGTAGGTCCGGCGGAATTCTTGAATGACCAGGCTTGAACGGCGCTAACGGGGTTGGTACTTGGGCGCTACTGCTAAAGTCAACACTCAAGATCACAGTGAATGACTCGTGCAAGACTTGGAAGAAAAAACATACAAAGGGCGCGATTTTATGCGCTTAGCTGGTGGTCCGTATGAAGTTGATCGATGCTTTGTCATCAACGTTCTCTTTCACGATAAAAAATTTGAATATCCACTATACTTACTAACCACCATTCAGGAATGTGGGCGATGCTCATGGACAAGAGTTGAAGTCGACTTGGCGACCAAAGCTAGCTTTCTATTGGTTCGTAAGTAGGTTTTTGCGCTACCTACACCTTCCCGTTTCTTTTGGAAGTCAAGTGCAAAGATAAAAAGCGGGCTACCTCTTTGAGGATTGAAAATACTTAGTTTGGTCGCGGCTAAACCATAGCGATGTTCCTACAAGTTCCACAGGTAATGAGTATCGAGGAGGAAGCCGCAAGTGTGCAGCGCCAGCATTTGTTTGTCCTAAGAAGGGCTATAAATTTACTTGCAGTCATAATGTTAGTAATTAGAGGGGGATTGATGTAAGAGATACGGATTCCGGAAGTCCTAGATGATAATACAACCATGGCACCCTAACTGTCGAAACCCATCGACGAGGAATTTCGGCATGTGACCATTCCTCCTTGATTGCACCTCCCCCCTCTCATCGACCCTGGTTTCCTTCTCATGGCTTTGACCAGGAATCAGCCTGCGAAAGAGCGTCTTCAGCTCTACAGAAGGTCTCCTCGTCACTTTCGGCGCGTGAGGCCCCGCAGATAGGGTTCTCGAGCTGGCAGCAGCAGACGCCAAAGGCGAGGCATCTCTTGTTTTCACAGCTACTGATTGCCACGCCAGGCGTGAAGAGGACAGGAGATCTGGAAAGCGACAGTGCACGGAGTTAATCTACATTTTACATGTAAGCGGGCAGAGAGGCAAGAAACAGCGGGGAATCACAAACAATGTTATAGTATTCCTGCCATTCATTCTTGATTGTCGCCCACTGCGCCGCTGAAGAGAGAAGCTCGGAGTTTGTTGAAACGAGGTCGTCTCGCACCCACAACCACCAGGCTGCTGATTCCGACGCCCGCTGTGAAAACTCAGACAAAAGGTTAAGATTTGCAACGAGGTCGGTTCCGATGTCTTTCAAAGCCTTTCGGAGGGTTGGGGCTGTGAAGGAATGAAGTACATTAATACTTGAGAGGTGAGGATGTAACGAAGGGAATGGCACTTACGATGCGCCGGGTCAGGTGGGAGGAGGACAATAGTGGTATTGTCTTTCGTAGAAGCGGCAATCTAACAAGCTCATATTAATCGTCAACGACAATGAGGTGAAACACTGAGCTAACCTTATAAAACTCCTGCCGCACATCTCTCATGACCCTTTCTACTTTCTGCGCCTCCTCCAGCCCTTGCTCGGCTTTGGCTTGCATACGCTCAATTGTCCCCTCAGAATCAACTTCCCACTCATCTTGTTCCTGGTGGGACGTGGAAAGCACTAGGCCTTCACTGGCGAGGTGAAATGCGATCTGTCCTGCGAGCATGCTTGAATCAAGAAGTTGGATATACGCTAGGATCTTGGAGGTGATTTTGGATGTAATCAGAGCTGCACCTGAAGGAGGTGCTTCTGAATCGGAGGATGACCTAGTTAATGGTGGGCGGTGAGTAAAACGAAGGACGAGTCTGACCAAGAGGGAAACATACGAGAGCAGGCGCATCTGGGAGAAAGGAGCTAGACGCTCCATAGTCTTGCGTGTTGTTCGAGCCAAGCCTGCGGCATTGAGTTGAGGAAGCATCCGGAGTGCTAGGAAGGTTGATACAGAATTCGTGGTGGATCTTGCAGGTTTGACTGCGAGTACAAAGTTTATTAAGACGCGGAACGGAACAAAAAGCTATGTTGAGGGATGGGCGTTATTCGTGTCGTGGTCCGTTACCCATCATTCCAAAACGCAATGATAAGCACTTCAAAACGAAAACCTCGTTGCAAGCTAGCGGGTAAAAGGCAGAGAAAGATCTAGGGAAAAGTCAGCGTCCACACCCTTTTTTGGAAAAGATCGAGGAACGTCTAACCTTGCAGCTCATGTAAAGCGTCGTTTACATGGACGGAACGAATTAGCCTCGAGGCATATAATGTAGCAGCACAGCCACAAGTTTTGAGATCGGATAGCATCCTGATATTGATCAAAGAGTACATGACTTGCCAGTGGACTAGCGACCACCTCTGAAGATGCACCCATACGTGACCCTTCTTGGATACGTGCTGCAGTTCAGTCGGGTTGGAAATTTTGCCAATGTATCCACCTAACAAGATGGTTTCCGCCTAATCCCATTGGAATTGGAGGGGTAGGAACACTATAATTGTATTCGTGAATAAGCTCTTGAATACCGGTACAGGCTCCTAGGAACGGACTTTACATACAAATCAGTGGAAGTCTTCAGAACTCCGAGAAGCGACCATGAGGCTTACTGCATGGCCATGGCAATCAAGTTACCGAGAGCAGGGCACGAGGATGTTGCAGTTTGATGTAAGCGTTCTAATACTTGAACTTTAGTACAAGAATAAACCAATCGGTCATGAAAATTACGCACCTCGGCAAAAACGTTCACATTATGGACAGCAACGAGGCTTGTGTTATGCGAGGGGAAGGCTGGTCGTACGCTGAGTAGTCTTCTTCTAGAATTAGCCTCACAAGGTGGTCTGCCAGTAAGGATGATGATCAGAGGAACGTCGGAGAGCATAGAGGCAACTTACCGGAGTATAACTAGTTACAGAACACCCATGCAATCCCGTTGGAACTTGCTGCATGGCCAAAAGGAATGTCTCTAGCCCCTCCTGGCCCATGTCTTGTCCAAGTTCATAACGGTGCACTCACCACCTCTGTGGCGGACCAAAACATGAATATCAGCATCGCGAAAAACACGAGTTGTGGAGCAAAACGCACCCCAGTGATGAAATAACAGAGGTACACACCAATCTACAAGAATCCTCGCAGAGTGGACAATTCTGGATTGCCTCCTCACTCATCGTCTTGGCAAGCTCCTTCCGCCGTCGGATCCGAGATCGTGTTCAGACAAGACAACGCTCTCCAACAAGAAGCTATCGTAGCGAGATCTATAAACTTTGGTGAGCTCATCAGAGTCGGTAGCCGGCATGGCTGAACAGTTTCCTTTCGAAAGACCGTTTTGGCGTGAGTTATCCCATCGTTACTTGTACAACAAGCTGAAGGGGAATTGTTGGAGAACAGTGCCCAGAGATGCTGCTACTCGAGCACTTCGTCGCAGATAGTCGCAGATTAGCAACCACCGAGGCACGTTCAGCAGGGCAAGAATCTGAAAAGTTTCATCAGGATGAGGAGTCAGAACACGGTCACCTGACTGAACTGCTAGTTTCGCGCGCCAATTCTCTACTCACAATGGCCATCGTACGGCGGTCGTCACGAGTAAAATCGCGTTGCCCACCACCAAATTTTGGGATCGTTACAGGATCGCGGTTATGGTTGCGTTATGGTGGCTTTCAAGCTTTAACACCAAGAAACAGATGCTACGACGTGCATTAAGTACTTGTATTTGTTAACGTGCTTACTGTACATACACGGACGCGGTAGACGATGATAGGAATAAGGAACATGAAAAAGGAGCGACGGGAGCAGGGAAACAAGTACCCTAAACGTGAACGTTGATATAAGTAGTCCAACTTCAATGCGCCCAACTGGAACAGGGGGTAACTAGTCGTGGGCAAAAAATGAGGCCACCAGACGCAGAACTGAAGGGGGATGGACACATGGCCCAAGGCGGAAACATGAGAACCTAACGAGGGACGACGGGTGGTCCGGTGGACGTGGACGAAAGTGGCAGATATGGATGGGTCACGCGGCTGAGGTGGGATATATGCCTGGACTTGACAGCGACTCCCAAGAACCCCGATAACTCTCCCTTCGGATTGTAGCTATGGCACGTCCAGAACGTTGTCCTCATCTGAAACAACCCTGCCTTCATTCCCGTCCTTGACAACCTCATCGCGCCAGTTTATAATGTCCATGTACTGGTCACCATCGAATCCATCCGCACCTTCAGGACCACCATCGAATCCATCCGCATCCATAAGACTACCATTACTGTTGCCCGAATTACCGCCATTTGTCCGACGACGTTTTCTACTGTAGTCAGGAGCTCCGAGGCGATGGTACCCTGGAAATCCCTCTCGAGCTTCGAAAAAAAAACGTACAGACGTATCAGCTGACTAGGGTCGGACAGATCAAACAGTTGCTTGTGCGCGTGGATGTAAACGAACTAAGAAAGTTTGAGTTTTTGGCAGCTAATACATCACTATGAACATACCGAGTTCTCACTTTTCCTGTACGAAGAGAGAATTTGCACGTGGCCACGAGAGGCGATAGCCCCCATGATGATAGAATGCTTGAGTTCGAGAGCTTTCCGCTGCGCCTGTGCAGTGACAAGCGCCATAATTACCTGGTTCTTATTGGAGTGATTCTCATCCGCCTTGAATTCTCCAGGGAACCCAATGATTGAAAAGCCGTCCATCGACCCGCCAGTGGACCAATAGAGGTGTTCTGCAGTGGATGGTGTTTGAAAGGAAAGCCGAGTCACTCCTATTTTATCAGCGATGGTCACTGAAGGAATTGTCACCAAGGTGTCGGACACCGCATCCGGATTGCCAGGCGACCCCACAAGGCGATAGCCCTCTTCAGTTCTAATGGCAAGGTTATAGGAGGTATATGCAAGCCCGAGGGGAGAAAACGTACCCAAAATTACAATGACGATCACGCCTCGCACTAAAAGCTAATTCGATAATGTCGTCAATGGCACGACGCTGAGCATGTTCTTTGGAGCGATTATTTGACGCTTTGAGAATACGATTGAAAGCGAAGGCGAGAGTGGGAAGAGCGGGTAGGATTACAAACTCGTCTTCTTCCACAGTGCGAAGTGTCGAGGCCCATCTTGCCACGCGGAACTGGAATTCGGGTTCGTCGTGTAAAAATGATGTCGGTAAAGGACCCTACTTAAAAGTTATGAGTGAACAAAGAGGCTGATTCAGACTTGGCCACCCTTTACAAAACAATGAAGCCCATCGAAATCGCTGAGAAATATAAGACGACTCACCTCGATGGTGACGCACTACTGGCGCAGTCGGAGACCAAGGAAGGGGTGGGAGGCATCGTAGCGGTAGGGTTCCAAGTTCAAGGAGAGGAGACAAGGGGGGAGCACCCCGTGAGAACTATGACGCAAATGTCAGGCTGGTCATAATCTTCTTCGAGAATTAGTGGTCTACTCGTAAAAAAAAATGATCAGAGGAACGTCGGGGAGCATAGAGGCAGGTTACCGGAGTACAACTACTTACGGAACACCCATGCAATCCCGTTGGAACTTGCTAAACGACCAGAGGGAACGTCTCCAGAAGTCATATCGTTGTGTCAGCCCCTCCTGGCCCATGTCTTGTCCTTTTCATAATGGTGCACTCAACACCTCTGTGGCGGACCGAAACATTAATTAGTATCACGAGTTGGAGCAAAACGCACCCCAGTGGTGAAATAACAGAGGTACACACACCCTCCCAGAGTGGACAATTCTGGATTGCCTCCTCACTCATCCTCATAGCAAGCTCCTTCCGCCATCGAATCTAAGATCGTGTTCAGACAAGACAACGCGACTCTGCGACGAGAAGCTGCCGTAGCGAGATCTATGAACCTTCGTGAGCTCATCACAGTCAGTGGTATGGCTGAGTCGAAAGACCGTTTCGGCCCGACTTATCGCATCGTTACTCGCACGGTGAGCCAAGAGAGGGAGGGGGGAACCGTTGGAGAACAGTGCCCCGAGATGCTGCTATTTGAGAACTTCGTCGCAGATTAGCAATCACGAAAGATGTTTCTTCTGAGTACAACATGTGGACAAATCTATGTCCTTACATCTGCGTGGATAGCTTCAGATGACCAGATAACACCTTCTCGTGAGGGGCCTGACACGATCGCCATGGCTGGGATCTATTGGAGGGGAGAATGAGGGAGAACCGATTCCCCCATGCCTCCTTATACAGCATTGGCTTCCGAGCCCCTCCAGGTTCGTTTCGCGTGCTTCAAAAGGTACACCACCGACGTAGGAGTCATGCCTTCCATCCTCTTCGCAGCTCCCTATGTCAAGAAACTATTTTCAGCTCGAGAAGTGCAGAGAATGGCCGAGACATACAATCGTCGTTGGCTTGACACGATAAAGCCTCTCGACAACCTCCGAGCTCAAACCTGGAACCGTTGAATACTCCATCCTGGGATCAAGCAGGAGAGACTCGTCTTCCATAAACGTCTTGAGGTCGGCCTCTTGTCGGGTTAAATGAGCGTCATATTGTCCTAAAATGAGAGATTCACGCTGTACAAGCCAATGTTCGGGAGATACGTACCCTCAACGTCGATGCGCGAAAGAATTGAAGGATGAATGTCCCGAAGTTCCGGCACCGCGCCCTTGAGGAACTCGGTCGTTACTCCCGGATACCTTAACATTTGGAAAGCACTGAAATCCCTCTCAAGTCAGCTTTAGAATGGAAGACTGTTCAAATGACAAACCTGCGCAAGATACCATCACGCTGCACTCTGACCCCGTGCGCGGCCCAGCCCTGGCAAAAAGACTTAGAATGAACAACAGTTTACGGAGTTGTAAGAAAACTCCGTTACCTGAGGGCTGAAAACAAGTGACTTCAGCCTCTTTGTCGCGTCTGCCATTGTCGTCCGCGTCTCATTAAAGGCAGACCACCTTTCGTCAGAGATCACACCAGCCTCACGACCTAACAATCCACCATTTCCAGTAAAAATAACGCGCAACAGACAAACGAGTTATAGGACTAACCTTTCTCAGTCAGTCGCATATCAGCGTTATCGCTTCTGATCGTCATTCGATACTCTGACCGAGACGTGAACATGCGGTCTACAACAAACAAAATGAGGCCCGAAAAAGGTGGTGGAAGAGAAATACTAACATGGTTCCTCCGCTCCCTTAACGATCAGGTCGTCAATCATCACACCCGTGAAGCCATCCGCTCGGGTAAGGACGAGTGGTGGGCGTTTCAGGACAGCTAGTCCGGCGTTGATCCCAGCGACGATACCCTGTGCTGCTGCTTCTTCGTATCCCGTTGTGCCTGTTACACAAAGATGAGAAAAAGATCATAGTGGAGGGTTGAAAACTGACCGTTGATTTGGCCAGCAAGGAAAAGACCCTGCAGCAATCAGCAGTCAACCGGTGACAAACGCAGACTGCCTGTCAAAGTACCTTGATGCGGTTTGTCTCCAGCGTTGCTAAAAGCATCCTTCTTTTTAGCCACGAGCGATGAGGGAAACCACGAGGACTAGACGTACGTCCGAGTTCCCTGGGATCAATGTAATCATACTCAACACCATACGCGGGCTTGACCATCTTGGCATTCTCCAAACCTGGGATGGTCCGTATCATCGTTTCTTGGAGCTCTTCAGGAATACTGCAGGAGATTCCGTTTGGATATATCAAATCTGATGATTGATCATAAGCGGTTGGAAGGGCAGACATGAGCGGGGAATACCTGAATCATATCCTTCAGGCTCTAGCCAAACAGTGTGGTGATCCTTGTGACCGAACCTAAGAACCTTGGCTTCGAGTGAGGGGCAGTACCGAGGACCTTGTGAAAAGGTCGTAAGTATAGGTAGAGGATGGCGCGGAGCAGCTTACCCTTCCTTGTCTCTTGAATATGAACACTGAGGTGAATGTTGTCTTTAATGATCTGGTGTGTTTCTGGAGTCGTCGCAGTTTTGTAACAATAGACTTGGTTATCCTTAGCTTTCCATCAATTTTTTCACAAACTTCGAAGGGAGGGATGGAACGGACGGCGTTGGCAACAGTGCGATTCATAAAACTAAATGGCGAGGGTACAACATCCCCATCTTGTCGTTCCAAACCACCGAAATCAATGGTGCTGATATCGAGCCTCGCAGGAGTGCCCGTTTGCAGCCGGCCGAGCTTAAACCCAGCTGCATTGAGAGAAGCGGAGAGGCCGATAGAGGGAGCTTCCCCCAGCCGTCCGGCAGGAAATCGATTGAGACCTGAGGAGCGGGTGAGGACTGGGAAGTAGCCAAAAAGGGCAAAATGACTGACCGATATGGATTTCTCCGGATAAGAAAGTCCCAGTACATATTACGACTTGCGAGCAAGGTATGATCTCCCCTGTCTCTGTAAAGGGGGCTTTAAACGAAGTATAATTTGTGTTGCGACATGCGTACCAAGCTTAACGCCAGATATCTTCCCCCACCGACCTAAGGTATTATCTGACTGGTCAATGACGATGTCAAAGACACTTCCGGCGCGTATATCTAGATTCGGATAGTTGTGAAGGACGTTCTGTATGTTTTTCTTGTATAATTTGCGATCTATTTGAGCTCGAGGTCCCTAAACACGAGTAAGAAACATGTGAAGTATGCAGGCGTTGGGCCTCACCCAAACAGCAGCCCCTTTGGTTCTGTTCAAGATTTGGAACTGAATTCCAGCCTTATCTAGCTCGAAGATGAGAATGGAGTCAAGAAACAAGTCTTGTTACCCACATACCTACCACTCCACCCATAATTCCTCCCAAAGCATCTACCTCACGAACCAAGGTCCCCTTGCCAACACCACCGATCGACGGATTGCATGAAAGTTCTCCGATTGTTTCCAACTTCTGGGTCAACAACACTGTTCGCGTGCCAGTTCTTGCGGCCCCAGCAGCAGCTTCACACCCTGCGTGTCCTCCCCCAATGACACAAACTGAGGGCGAAATGTTATTTCATGAAGTATTACAACAAAATCACTCACCATCATACGAGACGGTCGAAGAGTAGAACCTAGACAGGCTACGACAGATGCGTTTCCAACGGGGCTTTCGTAGCATGCCTCACGGCGGTCACGAATAAAATCGCGTAGGTTACCGACAAATTTTGGGATCGAGGTCGCCGCCAAACAAGACGCGCACGTGCCCTTCTTTCTTGTTATCACTTGGAAATTCGGCTGCCAGTGCCTCTCGACAGCCAAGGAAGCTTTCTCGCGTAAGTATTCATATTTCCCCACCTGTGAATTGTCGTCACTCTCGACAGCATTGACATGGAATGGAAATTTTAGAAAGCCTTGAGCCCTAGCCTCTAGTCTCTCCTAGACAGCTTCGATATGATGTGAAGTCGTACCTTGGTTCACGATCATATGAACCTAGCCTCTAGCCTCGGCTGTTGGAAATTTTTTAATCGTTCAAGCCTCTGCCGAGCGAAAAGGCTGGATACTTGCTGACGCCGACGTTCCTGTCTATCGACTTTCATAATCACCGAAATGGATAGATGGCAAGACCTGCATGCACCGCGTGAGTCCAGTTCTAACAACGACATATGAAACTCTCTTTGAACTTGCAGCTGCACTCCAGAAGTCGTTACCTGGTGCACGCCAACGCGTTCGACCACCACCCCGCCTGATTCAAAAGCGACTGTCACCCTCTGTCACCACTGGAACTTAAAAATAATTTGAAAGCTTCTACTTAAATGAACGGTACCAATAGATCTCAATCAACGCATATCACGATCACGACGAATTTCAAAAGATATACTTAGAGATGCAGACTGAAATTTACCAAAAGGTCCATCAGCACGGTAATATCATATGTTTACCGAACGCGCCACCGCTACCCCCTGTTGGACTTGGAATTCTAGAGCATGGGGGCCCCTTTATGCCACCATGCGCTATAAAAGTCTCATCCCTATCCAGGAAACGGTTTCCTTGCCCTCCAACAACGTTAACACAAATGAGCGGTCTTACTATTGCGCAGATTATCGAGCAGCTTCATGAACTGCAGGACTATGTGTCCTCGGTGATGATAGTGACGGTGCGTCGCGTTCTCCATGTATCAATACACCGCCATTGACTTGGCACGTCCAAAGGCGTTTGATGGTGCGCTCAGATCCTTTACGTGATCTGTCATACCACCTAAGTCGTGTCCAAACAGTCGTTGGCTCAGCGCTCTACATATACGACTACTTCCTCACGCTTGACTTGGAGGTAGAATTGGTATGGCCGTCAAAATGGGGCGCCATGAAGGTGCTTTTTCTTGTTCAAAGATACCTGCCTTTTCTTGACACAGTATCCCTCTGCCTCGTCCGTAAGCGAACCGGGTTTCCTTTTTAAAGCTGCACTTACGACCATTTCGCTGTAGATCAACTTGCGGCAGATATCAGTCCATCAACTTGCTATTTCCTTTACAGCTTCCGTGGGTGTACGTGTGGTTCAATCAGACATTTCGAGTTCGCAGGACGAAGTGATTTAATTCCGCGTTTTTAGACCTGATCATCACGGGGTTCCTCCTTTCCGAAGGTGCGTTTCCCCTCCATGCGACTCTTTAAAAAGGCTGAAGAACTTCAGTGATTCTAACTTTGCGAGCATGGGCGGTGTGGAAACGAGAGAGGATTTTGGGGTACAACCTTCTCTTTTTTATTGTGGCTACATATGCGGGCTGCACTGCCGTCATGGCGCTTTTCCTCAAGGATTTAAAACGTGAGCACGTCTTCCCGTTAACTTTACGACGACATCTCATTGCGGTAGTGAGTCCAAAACCTTATCCGGAATTTCCTGGATGCTTTGTTAGCGGAGCAAACCATATACTTTACTTGTGTTGGGTTATTTTGACGGCTTTCGAAGCTGGTACGAGTTCCTTATTGTATGAGGGGAACTTGTGCTAAATTTGCGCAGGAATCATGGTTTTGATGATTGTTGCAGGGATCTCTGCTTGTTCGTTCCCAATGGCTACTTTTAGGGCTTAAGTTCACGCATATTCAGATCGAATAGGAGGAGATGCTGGACTTCGTAACGTGATTTACCGAGAAGGTACTTTTCGAGCGCTCGTGATAATGCTTTCTAACAACAACTAGGTATCCTCACGTATATCTACCTCTTTGGTAAGGGTCTCAACAATCTTGGGTATTTACAAAGCTCACCCCGGTACCAGCGTTGTCGATCATCAATGTTGCGGTGGTCAATACCCTTCCGGCAAGCCACGTTAGTCTTTGTGCCGTTTAAAATTCACTGAGTTATTTCTAGATCAACTACGTTAATCTCCTAGCGGCGTAAGTCGGCCGGTCATTGCACGCTTCTCCTCGCTGAACACGTCTCTTAGTGTGGAAAGAGTTTTACATTCAATGCTTGCGAGCAGGGTGCTTCTTCACATACGTGCTGTCATGTCGAAAGAGCGCGTGCCCTGGTCGGATGGGCTGACGGAAATTCAGATTCCAAACAGAAGTGCCGGGGTTGTCTTCAACCAACGTCCGTCGGGAGAGGGAATTAAACAATATAACACCCCAGATTTCTCTTTTAGCACAGTGAGCGCTTAGGATACCGATTCTTTTTTCCTCCGAGTTTGTCGCCAAACAAATTGGATGTATTTCTCATTCGCAATTTAAATTTGGTAGCGGTCTTCGCAGGTTGCTACAGTGCCTTGCATAATGCTTTGCAGTGTGAATTTTTTTGAATTGTATTTGGCTGTGTTGAAACTGGACCTGAGATGTCACACTCAGGCCTATTCCGGACAGGGATCATTTCGTTGGGCCTTGGTTGTTGCTTGGTTGTGACATTTCAGGGTCATTACAAACATAATTAAATACAATTTGAAAAAATTCGTGCTGCAAAGCATTATGCAAGACACTGTAAGGTCAAGAAACCCGTGGAAAATGAGATGTTGATGTATACTGACAGTGGCAGCGAGTTCGAGAGGTGACAGAGAGAGGGAGCGTGGTTTGGTAAAATGGTGGTTTCCAAGGATAAGGCGTGATTTCGGGGTCTTCTACCGCGAAAGAATGGCCTCATGGATAGTAGAATTTGAAGGGGATTGCGATTTACTTGTCGTGGAAACTTTTCCATAGCGAAGCTAGTGACCCTTGTGGCGGCCAATGTTTGACCTTGGTGATTGGCGGTGTTGAGTAGAAGTTTCTTGGAAAAAGGGCAGCTGCTATGAACGTGCAAAGTCACTGGCAGCCAATGGGCGCCTCTGCATTGCGTTCTTAATCCGAATTCTGTGTAACGACTTGACGGACCACTATGATGGTGGGTGGCAAAAGAATCATCTGCTTACTAACTCTGCAATCCATGCTGAATATTCGGCAGACGCCAGTTGTTTTTGAAGGTTCTGTGTTCTGGTTTCGTGTCCAAACCAAGAAAACCTGGCCCAAGGAGGAACTGAGTGGAACATGGATTAGAATTAGAATCACTAGCATGTTACCCGTGCTTCGCACGGAGTCAGACTCCGTCTGAATATAGGCAAATGAATCTTTGACATTGCATAATCTAAGTTTACAAAAAACGTCCAGGTCATTCCTCTGGCACATGTATATCACCTGAGTTCGAGTCAGAGGATTGATCTGCTTCGACGCGTTGGTGCTTCCAAGGAGGGCCTTGAGCTGGAGTCGGAGTGGCTGGCATGGTAGGTGAAACTGGTGAAACGATGGTAGTTGTAATTGGTGTAGATGGACTACTGGCACATTTGTAGTCGATCAGGCTTTTTCCACGACGCGGCGTCTTATAGGGACCTAAGGGAACATCACAAGAACATCAATGAGACCGGAAAATTGGGCGGGTAAATAGCACTTACTATCCAATGTATTCGGAATAGCTGTAGAAGTACCTTGCTGCCCCAAGAATGCAATATGATCAATTGAGACCGTAAAACACTCAACGATGTCTTCAGAATTTGGTTTATGCATAACGTTTGTGAGGAAGCCAGAAATGGAGACATATCGACGATCAAAAGGCACAGGTCTCTTGCGATTCTGGTAGCGTGACGAAAATTCGCAAGTAAACGATGCGATAGGTTTGATGCCAGTGGGTTTGGAGTTTGAATTGTTCAAGTCTCTGAAGGCGAAGATGTAATGTTCGACATCGAGTTTGAAAGTTTCAGACTCCTTGTGAACCGGTGAACGTAAGCACATTGGCAGGGATCAATCTGGAAGTCCTGGCAGTTGTTTTGAGGGCTGAGAGGAATTAACTACATTCCAATTGCTGTTCAATTTGATATGACTACTGTGTTGAGCATATTTTGCGACCTAGGAAGTTTCTGGTCAGTACCGAGGAAGCTCTCATAACTAAGTAGGCGCACATATGATGAAAGGAGGGACTACGAAAAGTGGAGTAGACAGTGAAGCCAAGGGTCTGGCTCTGGCGGACGATGGTGAAGGTGCCGCATCCCACTGATGGCTCAGAAAATTGTTGAAATCCCTGGAAAACATGACAGCTCGGCCATCCGCATCAGCAAGATTGCAAATCACTCGGGACGCTTGGCCAAGCCCGCCGGGTCGTCCGAAAAAAGAGGCCGGATATGAGCTGGCGCAAAATCGGCCAAGTAGCTCCCAAGCGACACCGATTCAACTCTGCTCGCACGATTGTTGATATATTTGGGCTACTATTAGTACAGGGCTGCTCAAGTGTAGACTACAGTATCTACAACGGTGCAACCCTTCCTGCACCAGAAGTGCCTCTCTTGGTTCTAGATCCAAATAGAATGAGATGAATATCTGGATTGATGTGAGAAAAAAACACACCAAGGTTCAAAGATCGCGCGAAACCCTTCTCGTCCTTGATCAGGTTCTCCCCCGTTGTCGGGGTTGGGACGTGATGTCTAGACGAAAGACAGGGAAAAATTCACGCGATATATGTATTGAATTAGATGGATGCAGAGCAAGCAAATTAAGAAGGGAAACATACAGTAGAGCAAGATGGTGGGGTTCTGCCTGCGGAAAAATTCGCTTGGTTATTCAACATAGAAACAAAACGTACGTTTGCATCGAAGCAGGGACCGCCTTTGCAGTCATCAACCCATTTGTGAGGTTGATTCGTCAGCGTCATTTGCTGCTTCGCCAGCACCGAGAGCATCGGCTATGGCAGTCAGGCCTTCAGTGGCAGTCTTCAACCCATCCCCGGCTGTGCTGACAGCAGCTGAGATATCCGCGTCGCTTATCAGAACACGACGTAGGCTAAGGAGATAGGTGAAAACTTACTCTCTAGCCGAAGCAGTGATCTCCTCCATCGCTTTGGCAGTCGTCGTGAGGTGGGTAGCAGTTTGAATGCGAGCAACGTTATACATGATGGTCGGATTCGCTCTGCCTGCCATTGAATTTGGAGTGTTGGCAGAACCTGTGATCGTGATTCGTGGCTTACACTGACGTGGTTGATTCTGTATGACGCACTTCAAGCGGTAATATTGCCCTAAGCGTCAGTGTACTTTCTTCAACTAAAAGAACAGGCAACGCACCGGCAACTACTTGGTAAGAACAAGCTGCCATGAGCAACGCAGCAAAGTAAGATGCAGTTGCGTGACCGAATTGAATGAATTTCAAAGTGAACGATGACGATACGTCGGCTCGGGGGAGAGGCGGATTTCGGTGGAAGACTTTCACGACGAGGCAGGGGTAGGCGGGAGAGGGTGAACACCTGGGCGTTTGATAACGCAAACGTTGGTACTCGGTTTCGACGGGTACGACATAATCTGCTTGTTGTATTGCCTGTAAAAGGGATGAGAAGGAGGGGAGGCATTCAAAACAATGATACCTTGAAACTGCTATGCACGAGGGTCTCGTCGAGATCCAGGACGAAGCATTTTCGACCTGCGTGGTAGAAGAGATTTTGGAATGCCATCCTTCGACAAAAAAAGATAAGATGGAGAAATTGGCAAGTGAAGGAGAACTTACGGGGCTGATGGGGAGACCTGTGCCACCATTGAGGATGAGTTTAGTCTCTCATGAAGCGAAGGGCATATCGAAGAAGAAAATGTTAGGGTGTTCGGATGACCGGACGTTTACGGCGGCAAAACTTCGCATCACAAATCGATCATCGGATGGCTTGAGGGCCGGCGCGAGAGACTTGGGCATCAGCAGGATTCGTCCTGTTGTTCGCGGCGCGCGCTCTGTAGTTCACCCATGGTATTGATTTCTTGCCCGGAGGAAGACTGCCCAGTGCCCTCCAGTCAAATCTCAGTGAGGGCTCACTAGCACTTATCAACTCCCCTCTGTCCACAGGAAATCCAATCGGGTTCAGGTTTACATTCCAGATGGACCTACCACCACTACCAATCCATCACCTCCTCGGTCCTCACCTTCAATATGTATTTGGGAGGGATTTTTTAGCATTTGTGGTACTGATGTTTTGGGCCTACTATCTTACGAAGTATGGAATTACAGTAATATGTCACTATCTAATAAATCATTGTAATTGTGCTTGGCTTTCGATCTAAAAACTTGGCCAATCGTTGGCCCATCGTAGTCAGTGACACAAATCGGCGTAGCTTGGGAGGGTCGTACGATTTTGGGATGTTTGGCAAGCGCCCCAAGCTCACCAAGCACACCAAGCGTCGCCAAACAATTTGTGGTCTTGCTGATGCGAACTAAGTCACTTTCAATTTTGAGTGGCCTAAACATTCTTAGCCGTTTGAAGATTGGACGTTGAAGGTTGGAACATTTGAGCATGAAGGGTGCAGTAAAACATGGGCTCTGTCAAGGCGCAACAGAAGGCGGCGAGGCGGCAATCCATGATGAGCTGAGTGTGATCGCTGGGCGCTGAGTGCTGATGAGTGATCAGCCAATCAGAACGCTCACTTAGCCCCCGTGAGAGTTTTCTCAAAGACCGATGTCGTTTATTATATTAGATTTATTAGCTAACTACGCTGCATAAGCAACTCAGGTAACTACCGAAATAGCGACCTCACTAGCTAAGGACTAATCATAAGATCGTTACAAGGTGCTACAAGGGGGACGTTGGCCAGATTAGCACTCCCCAAACTGTAAAAGCTACCACCGGTGGCATAACACCAGGTTGAAAGATGGAAGCCTCAAGCCAAAAGAAAGCGAAGATCACGTGCTATATTATGGATGGTCTACCTCGTGTCACCTAAGTACCTCGAGCAGCCGGCAGCGACAGCCACAGACAGCCACTCACGAGGCTCCACGTTTGTGTGCAAGGCTATACTACCCTTTGCGAAGGCACCCACTTAACCCAGCATCGCAGCTTCACTCTATCATAATGGCCGACCCAGTTGCCGACAAGTCGGGGTTTTTGAGGATGTACATGTCGAACCACCCGGACACTCTGGTTGCCTATGCGAAATGGTACGGGAAAGTGAAGGAGGCGATATCGAGTGCGGAGATGACAGCCATCGACTCCAACGTGAGCGCTTTACGTTGTTCAACTCGAAAAAAAAAATGATCACTAACATTTCGAACCAGAGCATGACGCTGACATGCACTCTGAAGTCTGGGTCGAAGAAGGAGGTTCGTGTAGCCATTGAGCCACCTCTGTCAGGGTACGAGGAAGTCAAGCCGCGGCTCCTCGAAATGAAAGCTTTGTCACAGGAGGGCCTTGGGATGGTTAGTCGTGTCAATTTTTTCAAATATGACGGGAATTGATTGGTATTTACCGCTCCCCAGATAAAAGCCCCAAAAATTACTACGTTCAAACTTCCCGAAGGTATCGCGGTCGCTTCTGCCCTCATGGCCTTCATGTGGTATACCTATCTGGCACCCTTCAACTCAGCTTCACCATTCTTTATCCCTGCCAATTTTGTTCGTTCATACGTTGGCTTCCGCCCTGTGCAACTTTCCGTAGGGTTCATCGTTCTTGCTCATTCTCTGGAAAGCCTGTACACTTTCTCGTTATGTCGGAAGCATTCTACTGGCTTCCTTGTCGGGGTACGTTGTTCTTCATCTTTCTTTTCGCTGTGTGTGATTCATGTTCCCTGTCAATAGGCGCAGTATGTCATAACAACACTGGTATTAGGTTTCCCAACCTGGATTAGTCTCAGAAAACGGATTCAAGCGGCGCGTATTGATTCTGTCATGAAGGTCGAGTAGGGTGTATGTAAATTTTCGAGGTTCCGTTCTTCTTGTCGCCTGCTGGCCTTGTATATATTATAGTGCTTGTTCCCTGTAGAAAAGCTATCAAACTATATTATCTTGCTCTAAAGATTTACTTGAACATTTGCAGTCAGCGCAATATCATGTTCTACTGAATAGACGTCAAAGTGGCCGTGGACTTTATAATATATAACTCTACGTTCAGACACTGTTCAGACTTGTCCATCCCTAAGGCCTCAGGGACGACTAGGATACTTAAGGGCTGGGGCTGTGGCACCAGATCATGAGGCTCCCGGAGTCACTGAGGGCAACGGTAAACCGATCTTGGTTTCCTTCTTCCACCTTCCTTGCCCAATTTGAAGTTCATACCCCACGTCGCCGACTAACCCTCGTCCGATCATGCGAACGATTGCCAACGACGTCCCAATTGACATCTGGCGAATCATAGCCGACTTGGTCCTGCACAACTATCCGAAGACTTTCCAGGACCTTATCTCCGTGAATAGCGCGCTGTTCAACATAGTTCTGGGCGAGAGGTATCGTGAGGTGCGATGGGTGAAGCTGGACAAACCAATGGCTCGGATGCTCGCACGTCTCCAGTTTGACTCTTCTCTTCCACAATACCTTCTGTGCTGAACGTTTTTCCGCAGAGAACCTCTAATAGCCAGCCACGTCAAACGGCTGCACATCCGAGCCTGGTTCATCAACTATCTCTTGAAACGTGACGCCCTCTTCCGCAAATCCTCTAACTCACTTAGCGGCAAAACAGCCAAATGGACGTCCGCCCTTTTCTCTACCATCACACCAGTGCGGCAACGCCATCAAGGGCTGTACGACCGCACCTTTGTCAAGGGACAACTCGTACCAATCCATGATATCTCTTCCAAGGAAATAATGAAAGCCATGATCAAAGCTGTGACAGGCATGGTGAATGTAATGGAATGCAACTTCGAATGGGGGGATCTCCCCTTGAACAAGGATACCAGCAAGTTTCTCTCTTCCGCTCGCAAGGCTTTCGGGGGTAGCCTCCGTAAACTCGTTTTGCGTGCGGAAATACTCAAGTTCCAGGAAATACTCGCCATCACGGATTTCGAGGAACACCTGGACGAGTTGGACTTCCATTTCGACTATACGCCTGCTGTGGGAGCCTCGCAGGCCGACGCAGATGCCTGCAAAGTTGCACAAGCTCAAGGGCTCTTAAATACCATTGTTCCCTTCCTCGACATTCGACGTTCCGTTCTCCGTTCACTGACCATCTCATCCTCCGCCCAAGTCGACCTATCCGCGTTCTTCCAAGCACTAGGGTCTTTCCCCCGCTTACGCAGCATCTCCGCGCGGATCTGGTTCGACAATACACACTTATCCGACCCCTCTGGCCTCATCAACCTACTGACCACCCACTCAACTACCCTCCTTAACGTCGAGTTGAAGCCAAACTGGCCTACAAACCTCATCCCCTTCTCCACAAGGAATATGAGTCTAGAAAATTTGCAAATATCTTGGGGCCCTACGAAAGAATTGCTCCTATATAACGTCAGGGCGCTTTATGGGCTTGAGTCGTTAACGTTGCATTGTCACAACGTCGAGAAGATCCTTCCTCTTCTCCACCGCTCCAGGGACACCTTAACCCGGCTTAGTCTCATAAACAGATATCTCAAATTTGACGAGGTCAAAGCCGTAGCCCAGTTGTTCTCCCACCGTGATTATTCTCTCAAGTCTCTCCACATCGAAGTTCTGGATATGAGCGCAGACCTTATCGGACTTCTGGCCACCACTCTCCCAGGGCTTCTTTCGCTCTCCGTTGTTTTTGCGGAGGACGGATGGAACGGCGTCAGTAGCCATTTTTATTTTTATTTTTCACGCTTTTCGTTTTCACACTGACGACTTTGGAACAGCTTACATTCGTATCTGACTTGATAAATCTCCGACACCTGAAGCAGTGGTCTCTCGTGAATCTTGCTGTTTACCACGGTACTATCGTTGGCCGAAACTTGATGGCAGGATTTTGATTTCTGACGTATGCGTTTCCTCCTTCAGGGCGTTACGTCGACCCAGACCCAGACGCGGCTTGTCCGCCTCATAGCATCGTCGAAGACACAATTATGCAGTGCATTGGGGTTAACGTGCCCAGCATCACGATTTTTAAGGGGCTTTCCAGGTGGAACATGTGTCGGATGAAACTACTAGGATGTATCTAGGAATCTTCCTGAGAATTATGATTTTACTCACTTTTCTTCGAGTCTCGCCATCAAGGTTGATTCTATCTGAAATACACGATCACATTGCGCTTTCTACAGCTTGAATGAACGGGGGAAAAAACGATCGGGGTCGTCCTCGAGATCCCCTGCGAGTCTGCGACCATACATATTTAGTTGCTCAGGTTTCCCTCTAACCGGTTGTGAGCGTATGTAGCACAATGGTCTTAGTGCACATCGGATTGACCTTTTTTTTTCTTCTCTTCTTCTTTAGCCCATCATCCGCTTCTCCTACATTATCCCGTACTCTCTTCCGCGAACTGCCCGGAATCTATTCAAGAGCTTTGAGTACAACAAAACAGAATACAAAGAGTCTGACCTTCGAGTGACGTTCTGTTGCTCTTTCCCAGTCGTCCGAGTCGTCGTTTAAGACACTGCCTTCTACGACCATCTCGCTTTGACTGTCAATCTGGGTTACGTTGTCGGTCGAAACCTGCTTTTTCTTCGCTTTCCGCCGTTTTCTCTTGGGTTGTGGAAGAACGTTGTTTGCTTGTTGCCCATGTTTCTCTGTGTTGGAAACATCATCCTGAGGAGAAATGATTTCCTGAGAAAAGTCAGGATAAGAACAAATAAAAGATTGAGTCGAGCAAAATAGCGTAGCAGTTTTCCGACCTTTGATTTGTTACGTGCTTCTCCCATATCATCCTCTAGGCTCTTGCGCGATCTTTTCGATTTCTTTTCCTAAATTAAAAGAATTTAGTAGAGCAAATAGCATAATGTTTCCCCACCTTTTGGAGGCTTCTCGCTCCCCCGGTGTCATCCTCTATGTTATTTCTCTTCGATCTCTTTTTTCAAATTAGAAGGATTTAGAAGGGCAACGCAGGCTCCGACCTTTTGGTGGCTCTCCGCTGCTAGTTCTGCGCCATGATTGTTGTGAGAACTGCCCTCAGCTTCATCTACCGCCGCGCTGTGCGAGTCGGAGCCTTCATTTGAGAGCCGTCCTCGGCTCATTTTCCGCCTTGTTTTCTTCGATTTTCCGGTTTGTGGTTCTTCTTTATTCGCATTATCGTCCAGTTGAGCGGGAGCGATTTCCTATGGAAGATTGTGATGAGAACAGATCTCCAAATAATCGTATAAGTGATATAAACCGTTTCCTTCTTCTTCTCTTCTTTTTTCTAATTGATTAGAGACTGAAACAATCGGCAATATTGTAGCTCCTCATTTCGGCAGTTCTCCACCTAAGATCAGTATACAGGTAAGTGGTCAACAAAACAGCAAGTATCAGACAACACTTACCCAGTCAATGAGCAAAGGAAGGCCAGTTAAGTCATCCCCCAATTCAAGCGTCTCGTCTAAGATCAAAAAATGTCCTTTCTCTTCTGAATCATTCTGGACAAACAAAAAAAAGCGCCAATCATCGCCGTTGGTTACACACCCCCGGAGGTCTTTGAAGCTGTAATGATCATACATCATCAAGATTGTTGCGCGATGGGAACAGGAAACATACCCGACGGAGCGGCGACAGAATGGTGCAATGATTGACGCATATGGAAGATCAACTTCTAAGTTATCCAAGTTCGCATCAGGTAACTGAAATATTGCGCAAAAGTGGTGCTGAGCCATATCATCTTTGTTCGTGCAGATGCCTCTCGGCCATACAAACAAATTGTCTGAAGTCGAAGTCGATAAGGTCAGCCTGTCTTTAAGGATCACTTGTGAGTAAAAAACACTTCCATCATACGTGGAGCCTTTCGAAATGACAAAGTCAATGATGGGACCCATGTTACTGACGTCGGACTGGTGGAAAGGTATAATTTGGACGTTTCCGCCAAATTCGCCAACGGTGCTCATGTATTCTGCCAGATACATTAAGATGCTACTTGTAAGCCATCTCTGTCCAGCTTGGCACTAAAAAGACTTGAAAACATCTTACATAGAGGAAGTTTAAAGATCTACATACGCTTCCTGTGACTCGGTTGCGCACAATGGTTATCAAATTCGCCAGACTTTGAGACATCGCCGAAGAATTTGCAACTTTTTGACCTTGAAGGACGATTTCATGAAGTTTAGGAGGGTACAAATTGATTGAGACGGTGGTGTAGTCCATGGTGAACTGAACGTTGTATGAAGAAAGTCGAGGCAACTTCTTGAAGGGAATGGTGACGTAATCGTTTCCGGTAATCACGCGAAGCCTCCAAGGCCAAGTTGCCAGCACAAGATGTGTTGCACTAGACTACCAGGATGTATTTTGAATGTATCTAGGAATCTTGTACTAAGAATTATGATTTTACTCACTTTTCTTCAAGTTTCGCCATCAAGGTCAATTCTGTCTGAAGGTCACTAAGTACACGATCACATTGCGCAAACATTGCCCTTCCTACAGCTTGAGTGAACAAAAAAAAAAGATCGGGCTGGGAGTCTGCATATTTAGTTGCTCAAGTTTCCCTCTATGTAACCGGTTGTGAGCGTTGGCAGCACAGTGGTCTTAGTGCACATCGGACTGACCTTTTTTCTTCTTCTCTTCTTCTTTAGCCCATCATCCGCATCTCCTACATTATTTCGTACTCTCTTCCGCGAACTGCCCGGAATCTATTCAAGAGCTTTGAGTACAACAAAACAAAATACAAAGAGTCTGACCTTCGAGTGACTTTCTGTTGCTCTTTCTGAGTCGTCGTCGTTTAAGACACCGCTTTTTAAGACCATCAGGCTTTGACCGTCAACTTGGTTTACATTTTCGGTCGAAACCTGCTTTTCCTTTGCTTTCCGCCGTTTTCCCTTCAGCTTTGAAAGAATTTTGTCCACTTGTTGACCCAGTTTCTCTGTGTCGGAAACGTCATCTTGAGCCTGAGAAAAGTCAAGACAAGAACATATCACTCAGTAATCAAAAAAACCTTTTTCTGCGTCATTTCTTCTGTCGGTTGGCAAGTCACGACCCCACAAAACTGCAGGTTTGCATCCCTACAATTTTTCACCTGAATTATGCAGGTAAGCTGCAACCCTCGAATGCAAGGAGTGTGTTCAAGTTAGCTCACCCAATCATAAAGAACGCCCATCAGCAGCGTAAGGTACTAAGGTCAGTGTAAGAAATTATAGGGTCGAAGAGCAAAAGCTCCCCCTTATTTTCCTTGTCATTCTGGACTCGGAAAACGAAGAACTTCCAGTCGAAGCCATTGGTAACACACCCTCGGAGGGCATTCAAGCTGTGATAATGTGTCAAAGGTATGTGATGGAAGCAAGAATCATACTTACCCGCCAGGACGACGGCAAAAATTTTCCAGGAGTGGTACATACTGGTTGATTAAGGTCATACTCGGGGTTAGGTGGTCAGTTTGGAAAACCGCGCAAAACTGATGGCTGGCCATGTCATCTACGTTTGTCGTGAAAATCTTAGGCATCTTAACTAAACGTCCTAAAGAGGCAGATCTAAGATGACATTCAGGATTTCTTGTGATTAGAACGTACTTCCAATTGGCGTTCCACCTTTGGAGACTACGAAGTCCACAATCGGACCCATGTCAATGACGTCGGACTCGTCAAAGGGAATGATTTGTATCTTAGTCCCATCGATAGAACTGAGGTATGCAGACAGGTGGGTCAAGATGGAGCCAGATAAAAATCTTCGGCCTGCTCCAGTCTGACGACGGCAAAGCTTAACGAAAGAGATCATGCATGAGGATGAACGTATGTAACATACATTTTCGATGGCGATAGTACGACACACAACATTGATTGAGTCGGCTAAATGCCCGGAAAACCTCGCTGGACCATTTGGGATCTTCTCTCTTGTAAGCTTAACCTCGTGCAGTTTGGAAGATGTAAGACGAATTGAGGTGACGACGACTTTGTCGTCCATGAGCGAGTTGGGGGATGTGGGATGAATGCGAGTGAGAGCACGTACTTAATTGTGGTCGACTTCTCTTGGAGAATGGCACCCGATTCGGCTTTCTTACATACAGCCCGCTACTAATCACTCGTAAAATCCAGCAACGACTCATCAATTTCAAGCACAAACCATTTTAAGTATACGAAGTCGGCCTTCATATACATGTGTAAGGTCATCAACCACCGCCTCGCCACCAACGCCTGACAACCCTCCGGAGTGTGTTGGCTGTAAAGGAGGTGTTTCATTTCAGTCTAGAGTAACACCAATATATGTCCAAAGACAAACCATTATAAATGGCGCTCAGTACTCAATGGTGAGCGCAGCAACCCCATCTCCGATTCCTTTTCCCTCCTCCCTCTTCAGCCCCATCTCCCCCCTTAGTCCCTCATAAAACTCCCCCGTCAACCCCGCCTTTTCCCTCGCCTCCGCATTAAACGGACCCCTCACCTCCCCCCTCCACCCCCTCCTCACCTCATCCCTAAACGTGCTTATCGGCTCAACACCCTCCCTTGCACACACCCAAGTGAACCACCGATGACCCGCAGTGACGTGCGTGACTTCGTCTGCATGGATCACCTCCATCGCTTTTACACTCTCTAGGTCCCCTGCGCGCCGGAAGCGATCGATGGTGCCGGGGTTGACGTCTAGTCCGCGGGCTTCGTGCACGAGGTGGATAATGGCGAGGCGCGCGCGGAGGGATGTGGATGTGGTGGTTGCAGATTCCCAGAGGGAGGCGTGCACGGGTAAAGAGCCGTATGGTGTTGTGGGTGAGATGGCGGAGAGGCGCGAAGTTAGGAGGGTGCTAAGAAAGGGAGAGGAGTCAGCGGGGTGGAGGAAGGGAGGGAGGGAGAGGGAGACTGACAAGTGTTTTGATTCGTCCAGGGCCATTTTTGTAAAGTCGGAGAAAAAGGCCGGGGGTAGATCTGGGTGGGATGGGCCGAAACGGGCCATGATGTCCCAACTGCCAGGTCGAGATAAGAGACAGACGTCCAGATGCATTCTGTGAAGGACCTACGCGAGGTCGATTCTATGCAAGTCGACAATGAGACTCGACACTGTACTTATAACAGCGGACCACTTACGCCCATTGTTCGATATTCGCCAACGCATGCAACATCACGGCACGGTTCTTTCTATTCTTCACCTTGGCGGGGTCCACCGTGTTCTTCGCGAACGATTCTTCTCTAGGCGGTACATCCGGAGCTCGAGGTGCATTTGGTGCTTTGTGTCCAATAGAAGCAAGTTTCCCTGTTCGGAATAAGTGAACAGCGTGTTTCGTACGTTCGACCTACATCGATAATAAGTTGGCGTAGTATATAGGATTTGACGGAGATGTACTTTCAACGTAGGGTTCGAGGTGTTCAAAATGAGGACAGCCCACTGCATCAGCGTTGTTGGGGGTTTATCTAATGGGACGATAGGCTCTTCTTCTAGGGTTGGAAAAGTGTGGTCTTGATTTGGAATCGGAGCATTAACGGGCGGTGGTGGTGGGTCTGCAAATTCTGGAGAGAGATGTCTTAAAGTGAGGCCAGGCACTGAGCTCAAACCCAAGGGATCAAAACCTTCAGAAACAGGACGCAATTCCACGAGACGCCAGTGAGTACCACCTTTCGGCGTTTCGACGTAAACCTTATCAAGTTCATCCGCCGAATCATGCTTCACTTCCACGGCGTATGTGCATGCTACAAGTCCCGTTTCGCTTTTTCCAGTTTTTAGATCGAAATCATATCTGTTCATCCACGCTTTACATAAATAGTTCAACTCAAATCACTTCGCGAACGCACCTATGCCACGGACACACCGCCACAACACTACTCTCGCACTCCTCTATCTCAGCATGCGACAGGTCTGCCCCCAGATGTGGACAGCTTGACTCCATAGCGTATAACTGCTTATAGGCTGGGTTGACCTCGTCCTCTGTTCGTGGCACATGTTCTTGGTTGGTATTGTCCTGTGTTCCGGAAGAAAGCCTGAAGAGAATGAGAGAATGATAGTGGCCTTGTTGAGATCGAAGGGTAAGAAGGAAGCGGGAATGGCTCTGCAGGTCGCGGTAAGGAGAAATTCTGTTATCATCCAAGATTAGTCATGTTATAATCCAGAAAAAAAAGAGATGCCACGAACAGGAGGAGGTCCATGGTGAGTTCAAGATATGTTTTATTGAACTTGCTGTTTGTTTGGCAGTAACCACCAAGCATAACTCCCAAGACTCACAAAAGACACATTTTGACCTGGCGGGGAATAATGAAGAGTTCAACTATTTACATAAATAGTTGAGCAGGAGCTAGTAGGACGAAAGCGACGATGAGGCTCTTTGACAAAGTGGTGACAAAGTGGCTCTGCGCTAAGTTGATTTAGACTGGACCTAGATTCTCACATGCATCCTCCCGTTAAGTACTTGATACGCATCACCCCTTCGACCACTCACTAGCACCCACAACTCAGGCTTCAGCCTTCTCCAGCTCCTGCGAAAACAACCCGCGAACAAACTCCGCTTCCGCACTCTTCTCGTCACTAAACACCACGCTCCGCCCATACTCCTTCTTAAACCTGGGTAACAAGATCGGGAGATCCCAGCGGATAATTTCATCCACCACCCGCACCGCCGAGTCCAGTGCCCCCGAAACCCACGCATGGTGGGCACTTGCCACCTCACCCGCAAAATGGAACCGACCATACGCAGCGGGCTGCACGATGTCTGCAAAGAAGGTACTGAATTGCCCAGGGGCAAAGTGTGCAAAGGCACCCATGGTGAACGGGTTGTGGTACCAGTCGAATGCATGGTAATCCAGCGTGTCCGCCCGGAGCTGCTCGACTGATACACCGTGGAGCGTGCTAAGATCTGAGTAGAGCTGGTCGAGGAGGATTTCTTCGGACCAAGGGCGTTTACGATTTGGGTCGAGCTGCTTGGACCAGTCGGATTTCTCAATGAGGGCACCGAAGCGGTTAGCGTCTTGATGCCTGCCAAGTTGAAATAAGCGGTCAGCTCGGAATAAGCAGATGTACAACAAGATAACACGCACCAGTTGTACGTCGCCATCAGTACACCGGGGCCTGCCTCGCCCAACCCAGCACTGGGGTACACAATGGTGCGGCTTGGCCTGTCCGTATAACTAGAACCTCCGCGCTGAGTCAACCCACCCTGCTCCCACCAACGTGTCTTGAATCTGATTCCGACTTTAACCGAGGGCCCGTAATTGAGCGTACGGATCGCCTGACGCTGTTTATACGTCATAGGAACCCTCTCCGTATCGATAGTGCTGAGATTGGCGAATGTGGAGGTGGAAATGACGTGAGCAAAGTATTCATCTTCCTTTCCTGCGACGCTGACTTTCATCAGGGGGAATCGGAATGGCCAATGAGGCAGATGCAGATTCGGGAAACACTGGAATGGTGGTAGATAGACTAGCTTGACGGCCGTGACTTGGTGTCCGTAAGAAGGTTTGGTGTTTAACTGGGCGACCATTGCATCGATCAACGTCTTGCTGCCACCTTCGAGGCACTTCCATTGCGCATCTTTCCTGGGATCGTCGAAATCAAAAGAGCCAAGAATAGCCTGCAGATCAAGTCAGACCGAGGCAAGTTTAGCAGAGTGATGAAGATATCTTACTTCGGCGAAGCCCTGATTGAAGCCGCCTGTCCCGCTGTTCCTGGTCTCCATCCAATGAATGACGGACAACGGATAATCGGGTTTCTCTCGCGCCAGGTAAGCCCTCGTCGAAGCCCAGTCGTACTTCATGAGCTCCTCCCAGCCTTTGTCGAAGTTGTCAATGATAGCTTTGCGGAATGGGTCGTAGGCGGCGGCAGTGCATGCGTTCACCCCATAAACTGTCTTTCCACGCAGGTCAACGAATTCTTTATTCAAGTATTCCTCCGGGACCTGCATTCCAGTCGGTGAGACGTAGGGGAAGAGAAAACCAATGAAATGACGCACAATCTCATCTTTAAAGTGGTCACCTGCCGTGCTGGCGACTGCTGCCGTAGTCTTGATACCTGCACATGCTGTGAGCCTCGAAGACCGCGATCCAAGAAATCAACACTGACCGTTATAGTAACGTATGTTATCGCCCCTTCCCATGACATATTCAATCAATTTGCTTTCCAAACCGAGCTCTTTGAACAGCTCGAACGTCCTCTTGCTCGCCTCGTTGTCCGGGAAACGCATAGCACCAACATCATAGTAGTCATGCTTGCCCGGCGACTGCGACTGGGCAAATTCGTATGTGAAGACACGCCCTCCAGGACGGTGGCTAGCCTCGAAAATCTTATACGGGATACCCATGTCTTGCAGAAGCTTGGCGGTGCGCAGGCCTGCAACTCCAGCGCCGATGATAGCAACGGAGTACCAAGGAGGAAAAATGGGCCTGGGAGGGATGCGGTGATCGCCACCACCTCTCGTGGGACCTTGGCCCCTGCGCTTTCTTTCGAAATCGAGGAGGCTGCTCCAGGAGACATGGTCGTTGACGGGTTCTGGGAAGAGCGGAGGCAGCTCGGGGGGTGCATCCTCAGCATCTTGCGCGGGTTCTTGAATACCCCGAAGCTTGGGCTGAGTACCTTGTGCTTGCTCATCCTCGTCGACTTTGTCTTGGAACTCAGGGAGGGCTTGGAGATAGGTCAGGTCATCGATCTTGATCTGCGGGTCCTTGGATTTGAGCTCTTGGAGCCCCTTGTTGACGAAGTACTGGGCGACTTTGGTGCGTATGTCTGAACTGTCGATATCTGCCATGGCGAGTGGGGCAAATGGTATGATTTGAGCGATGCAACGCGGTATAAATATATGTCAGACCAGGCGCTCGATGTTGGACACTAAAAGTCAACCGGCGAGAGCAGATTCCGGAGAAGACATATGTCGTTATCAGATGACCTGGATGATCGTGGATTTCCTCTGACATTCCGCATGTTGCAAGCATTTCTGGGGTTTGAAGGGCTGGCGTCTATCAGGCACGATAATCGTGGAAATTCTAAATCGTGGATGTGAAGATCGTTGGAGCAACAACGTTCGCAAGCAGTTGTTCAAATGACTAGCATGTCGCCGGTGTTTCTTAACTGCGGGGGTAGGCGCCTGCATCAGCTGGCACAACAACTACAAGCGATCCAAGAACCTGGACATCTTGGTATGTTTGTTCCATTGATAATGGCCTTAGCGCTGAACCGTGCTGGTAAATTAACGAGGAGAGTGGAGTGACCAGATGATCGACACGCCGTAAGAATTTCTAGGGTACGGGGAAAGGGCATTCAAAATCCTTGCATAGATCAAGTTGGTCAATCAGGAACGAAGGAGATGCAGATGGAGTGACTTACGGCCCGGAAAACTTTTATTGTCCTTCAAGTTTCTGCCCCAGAGATGATCGATGAACAGCCCCCCATTCTACCCTAAAGTCCCTCACACGGGCGTAAGGAACAGACAAAGGGACAGCGAAATTGTGAGATATCCGACTGGCATGTTGGAGAGCCCGTGGCGCCGAAAGGTGTAGAAGGTGGCCAACCTTGAATCTGAGGCTCCTACAACGTCACGTGGCACTATCATCGGAGTTCAAATCAATACAAACATTACTGCTCTGCGATCGCGACCCTCTCATGATTTCGACGGATTTTTGCCTCCTTACAGCTTGCGCAAACGGCGAAGTGAACGATGATTTTACCGTCGCGTTTCTCGTCTCACCAGCATTTTTGTGACATGGGATGTATGTATTTGTTTAGTATTTGCCCGTATTTGCTCTTGGGTCTCTTGACAAGTTCTTCAAGGTTCAACGATGTTCAGACAACTCCGCCTTCGAAACTTCCCCAAGTCCAGTGTATCTACCTCCTTGTTTAATACGTTGCTTCACTGGTATGCTTTTGTTGCCTTCGTTTCTTACACTAAAACATGAGTGACTTTAAATTTGGTTTTCTAGACTTCTTGATGCTATCTCCCCGGCGTGGGCTGGCAGTTCCGTGGTCGACGACGCCAAGTGTGCACACGATAGTTGTCGGTACAATTTTGAATTCGACGTCGGATGTGCGCCAACATCGGAGCACTTACCTCTTATCGCATTGCCCCCCGCATTTTAATCTTGAGTCAGTTCATGAACCGCCACCGTGTTCTCGGTATTGTGAGCCACCTCAGTTATAACGGGCTTTTACATGGTTCCAACTCCTGCGGTGATTCCCGTAGAAGAAGCTGGTGCGTAGCTTTCAACGACGGTTGAGCTGCCTTAAGCCATGAACCCATTTGGAGCTGACCATCCGCGGTACCAGTGACTCAGGCTGCCCAGCCACAGTGGCGCCCTTATCTCTGAACATGGCGGAACTCTCGTCGTATATTGTGAGGATACCAAATGCGCACAACCTCACGGTGATAACCTACTCCGTTCTGTCAATTATCCGGATAAACTTACTGATCGCCAAGTTTATTAAACTGAAGAATCAAGAAGTTGTCGTTCGAGCATCTCTTCGTCGCTAAATTTGAAGACCCGTTGGTAACAGCATCCGCATCAATCCCGTCTTCAATGGGCTGTTACGATCCATTGTCTTTCGGAGAGAAACTGGCGATATGGCGAACCCAAGCCGTTTAATGAAAATATATCATTATGCCAAGCCGCCTCGTTGTAGCGAATTTCAGGTGTCATTCGGCCTGCAGCTGCCAGCCAGCTCCTATCGTTTGATTTAAGTTCAGCAGCGAGGTACGATTTATATCATCAGACTTCCCTTGGGTTTATATGGTTCCAGTTGCCATGCATGTGCGTCGCCCATCCAAAAATTTCTCCTGTCGGCGAGTTTCCTTCTCCAGCAGAACTTTTTTCACATCCGAGCTCACAGGTGACATTTGTGATGCCCGCGTTGATTCGCTGATTCAGCACGGTAACCTTGCGGTAACCGTCTCATAAAAATGATCCTGAAACGACGTTATAATCAAGAACCCCGACATTAGCGGATTTGCGGCTCAACTCGAGGGGAGAGGAAGCGAGTTTGGGCATCGCTTAAGCAGCGACCACATGGAGTTTTCCTCGAAGGAATCGGAACAGCAGGGCAGATAGTCAACAAACAGCGAATGTTGCGGTATAAAAGTGAGGAGCAATTGCACACTTCAACCAAACCCAAGTTGCCTCTTGAACCTCTTGAAGTTTAAACATGTCCGCACCTGGAGCTCTTTCGACTACTAGCACTTCCGCCACATCATTGATCGCTCCCCCTGCTACGCCTCCAGATACCCTGGACCTCGATAATATCCAGGGAGACATCTTGTACAAATTATTTCTTCGTCGTCAATATCATTATTGAACGCCATTATAGGAGCGGCCTTCCAAAAAAGACTCAGTCATATATTTTCTTCCAGATCGTCGACGTTACAAAATTTAGGGCGGATCTTGCTCGATTCGTACCATTCGTCAAGACGGTAGCGGGGGTTCTCAAAGACAGAGACCTGATCAAAGAACACAAGAAGAAGGGGCATAAGACCCTTATCCCACTGGTTGGTGTGAATATTGCGTTCTCCCATCTCGGCTTTGTCAAAGTAATTTCTTCAGCGATTACTTGTGTAATATCGCTGACGATGCACCCCGTTTTTTCTAGCTTGGTATTGATGACAGCTCCTTGGGTGGCGCCACAGATCCATTCATCATCGGACAGTTCAAAGACTCCACCCAAAACCTCGGAGACGCAGGAACGCAAACTACCTCGGGACTCGTACCAAACTGGGACCCAGCCTTTGTCCAACCCTTACACGGAGTCATCCTCATTTCCGGAGAAAGTCACGAAACACTTCACAAGAAGAAACTTGAAATCGAGTGCATCTTCGGCGTTCGCACTATCCAACCTTCGATCTTCGAGGTCACCAGCCTCAGGGGTGACGTACGACCTGGAGTTGAGTCGGGGCACGAGCACTTTGGGTTCCTCGACGGAATTTCGAACCCGGCCGTCACTGGGTTTGATAAAGATCCTAACCCCGGACCTGTGCCCGTTAATCCAGGAGTTATCGTCACCGGACACACAGGAGACCTCGACCAAGCCACAAGAGCTGCGTGGGCGGTCGATGGCAGCTTCCTCGTCTTCCGTTACCTGTTCCAGCAGGTACCTGAGTTTAACGACTTCCTCCAGAAGAATCCTATTGCCTTCCAGGACCTTACCCCTGAGGAGGGAAGCGACCTTCTTGGTGCCAGGTTGGTAGGTCGCTGGAAGAGCGGTGCTCCGATCGACTTGTCTCCCTTCAAGGATGACCCCATGCTTGCAGCGGATCCTAAGCGGTGTGACCCCCTCTTCCCACGTTGGGTATACAGATTACTGACCCGGACCTTAGCAACAACGATTTCAAGATTGAAGGGGAGATCAACTCACAATTCCGCTGCCCTTTTGCCGCACACGTCAGGAGGACCAACCCACGTAACGACTTGGAAGCCCTGCCACCCCCGGTTGGACCCATTTCAGTCCAGAAGAATCGCATTTTGCGCCGTGGTGTGCAGTTCGGCCCTGAACTCACGAAAGAGGAGAAGACGACTGCGAAAACCGAGTATGGTCGGGGACTCCTCTTTGCTTGTTATCAAACTAGCATCACGAACGGGTTCCAATTCCTTCAGAAAGGTGCACAGTTCTGAATTCTCGTACCTATTGCTTCTTCGTTTGACATCTTCACTTAGCGTGGGCGAACAATCCCAAGTTTCCTCTCGGACAAACACAGCCTGAGGAACCCGGGTGAGTTATATAAGACGCTTAATCAAGGGCACCTGGTGATAACTTGATTCCAGATTGGATCCTCTTATTGGGCAAGGTGTTCGCAGCATGTCGGGGACTGATCCCAATAACGAGGAGAAGGTTATCAACGGAATGCCTGATTTCATCATTCCTCGCGGCGGTGAATACTTCTTCTCCCCCTCTTTGAAAGGTTTGAGGGAAACTTTGGCATCCCCTCCTGTTACTGCCTGAACGGACTTTTGGAAATTGTCGGGGAAATTGTCGTGGCATGGACGTGACCCGTACAGAGGACATTCAAATAGAGTATCATATGAGATCAATGACAGTCGTGGAGGATTGATATACAACCTGGCGCTTGAGTCAATCTCCGTATAAGAACATCAACACGTATCTCACTGATTTTTTATGTTTCAAGCGCGAATGTTCCACAGAGATGCAGATTAAAACCGCTTTTCACACTTCAAACTACCCTATTTCGTGTTCAGCCAAGAGCTAAATGTATCATGAGCTCGATTTTTTACAGGGGATAGCCTGGATCCTACCATGTTTGGTATGCCGTTTGAAATGGGATAATCATGTTTGCAGTTCGGGCAGATCATCGAGCCTTCTTCGACGTGGACCTACGGAAAACTCATAAGGACCCCACCAATGACTGGTCCTTCAAGATCAACCTCAAGAAGAACGTGGTGTAAATTCTTCAAAAACTCGTCATCCAACATTTCCGGTTGTTCAAGAGGTAGCGAGGTATCTCCTAGCTTTGAAAAATGTTAGGAATGAACTTGAGATGAGAAGAAAAATGAGACACACCTGTCTGGCCGTATCAACCAACGCCTTCCACTCAATCTTTGGCAGAAACCCCCTGATGAATTCTTGATTATATTCGGCCTCCCGCAGCTCAAGCTTCGCATCCTTGAACTCCAAAGGGAAATTGTTTGACGTGCATCCTTTTACGTGGCACGCAAGGAGGTTGTGCGTAATAAGGCGGACCATTGGCGCGTCTTAGAGAGATGGTAGATCACCGGGATTGTTGACGTCGAGAGGAGATCCAAAGTGATCGGGATCAAATAAATTGCTCGTCAACCACCAGATCATCAACAGCGATGAGACCACCGTCGCCCTCGATTCCAGAGAAGGAGTTCCTCTTCAGCGCTCTCAAACAATCTTTACGACTCGATGGTAGACTATCCTTGGAGATGCGCTTGCCAACCATCACGTTTGGACCAGATTTTGGTTGGGTGGAGTGTGCTCTTGGAAAGACAAGGTGCGTTGATATCGCTGTCGTTTCATCGAAATGGTGTCCTAAGAGAGACTACGTGACAGGGTTCTTGCTCAGGTGGAAGCGAAAATGGTGAAACCGGCGCCAGAGCGACCGTTCCAAGGAACAATCACGATTCACTCAGAGATTTTACCTATGGCATCGAGCGAGTATGAACCTGGCCGGTAGGTATGTGCTCATTTTTTTTCGTCTCAAAGCGTATTAAGTCAGTGGTAGGCCATCAGATGAAGAAGTCACCATTACACGTATGCTCGACAAGGTTCTTAAACGAAGTGATGCCGTGGACAAGGAGTCGTTGTGTATCTTGGCTGGGCAGAGGGTGCAGAGTGCCTTCAATTTACAAAAGAAGATTCTTATTATTTGTCTTACAGGTTTGGCACATCCGCTTAACGCTACATTTTCTAGCGGACGCCGGAAACATGCTTGATTGCGCATGTCTGGCTGGAATCACGGCCCTCCAACACTTCAGGAGACCAGACGTTGAAGTCGTTGGAGACGAAGTTATCGTCGTACGTCGATCTTTTGTTTCCGTCTGCGCTTTCATCGTTGCTTATTGTTATCCTTCATCTTTTCAAGCACTCTCCCTGGGATCGGGCTCCAGTGCCTCTAGCGATCCATCACACGCCCTTTTGCTTTACTTTTGCCTTTTTCCCCGACATTACGACACCCCCTGTCCTTGATCCAAATCAGCTGGAGCAAAGGCTCAGCGCCGGTTTCGTGTCGATTGCCTTGAATGCCCAGAAAGAAATATGTGTGCTTCAGAAGCTCGGAGGGGTCCCTTTGGAGACTGAAGAGGTCTTGACCCTTGTCAACGTGGCCGTTGGAAAGGCGAAAGAGCTGCACGGATTTCTCGACACCCAATTACGCGAGGATTGGGTTGGTCGAAAGGTCGAGGTTAGATAACCAATAAAAAGTGGTTCGCACTATCATTGTTAAGGCTGCGCAACATCTTGAAATTCTCGTCAGATATTTCATAACATTTTTCTGGCTTATTTGTGCTTATTTCAACAAAAGTCCGAAGCAGTCCAGTCGATGGCTGACGTCACTTCTTCCTCACCACGATGGAGGACCCAGTTGCAGAGATCGAATCAGTCGTGCTCAAGGTTACTGCGACTCACTCACCCGACGTTCAAGCGGCAGCCTTTCAACGTTACATGAGTCAAGATATGGGTTTCAGGCATCCCGTCTGTTCCATTGTTCCGGGACCAAATTCGAGGAACAAAGTTCTCGGAGTCTACCAGCGAGCCTTTCAACCACACTGCACTGATCTTTATCTTGTTGACCATGATTTCGCAGGTGGTATCGTGTCCTGTCCCCGCGCATCGACATCCGGATAGACAGTGTTGGTGAGTGATACAATGGCAGGTGTAATCTGCTGTGACAGCGCATCTACTCAATCCGATTCTAGTTTTCGACGAAGCTAGAAGATTATTATACGTAGAAGGAGTCCAGTGGTTCAAATTGATTTTCTTACCGGTAAAGCCAGTACCAGCAAGGTAGGTCTAGTGTTATCGCATGAGCGCCTCTTATTCTATCTATTCATCGTCAGGCTGATCATTCGTTTAACTTTGCGGAAAGAAAACAATCTTTTTTATATCGCTTTTCAAGAAGACTTCTAGTACCACACCGAGGTATCGTATAACCATGTCATCTATGGGCCCCACTTACAGATTGACTTACAGGATTTTGCTGCCCTACTTCTACCTCCGATTGCGCCATTCGTGAAGTGTGCGCTGGGGTTCAGCGGCTTAGTTTCGAACGTCCTCGCACAGGGTGCACAAATACTTGGATATTGGAAAGTATGTAACTGCAGTCACGAACGTGGAGTCTGAACAAGCCTCGTTTCCGAGTCAGGACAGTCACTTATATGAGCCTGACGACACCAGGTAGAACCGCCGAACTACGGGTAGGCAGAATGAAATATTTTATGGATCTTTTTGTGAGGTACAAACTCACAGAGAAGTTTTGAATGTCACCAGCAGACGCCATTCGACATCATTCTCAACTTGACGTGCTGAAAGTCTAAGCGCACGTTAACTACTACCTGCATATTTAGTAATATATTCGGGGCCGTTGGCCCGTTGTACTTGCGCCTGAAAAGCCCAACCTGTACGATGCTTGCACTATGTGCGCAATTCGTTTGTTACTTGCTTCCCGCCGAAAATGGGTTTTCAGTTTCAAGATGAGATGTCATGAAATGCAGTGATCATATATGTGCAGACCCATTTATTGTTACCCGCATACTGTAGGTTTTCAATTTAATTACATATTAGTATCATTTTATTAAGAGCAGTTGCTACAGAGTAGTGTATGTCTGAAAGGCCAATGTCCGTGAAGGTAGCAATGTAGACGTAGGTGTGGTTAAATAAACAAGCTTTAGACCCGTGCCTACGGCACGGCACTCGCTAACGCTCGGCCGTTCCTCCAGCACTGGTCACAGCTTGCCGGGGGCACGCCCCCTGGACCCCCTGGTACACATGTTTAATCCTAGTTCTGGTACACATGTTCAATTCTGGCTCTTCTTACATCTCAATCAAAATAAAGTGACATTTATCAGTACTTTTACCATTTACATCAATCTAATAATACCTCTGGATAGACTACATTTTGTGTTACAGTTTGTTGTGAACCATCTTTGAAGAGAACTTTGATACGGTTGCTTGATGTGCAACGTGAAAGAGCCACATAAAGTTGTCCATGTGTAAATACTGGGGTCCGAACATCCAGTCCTAAATGTTTCACTGACTGTCCCTGAGATTTGTTGATTGTCATGCAAAAGGCCAGGCGAACAGGAAATTGCCTTCTGCATAACTGGAATGGAAGTTCACCATTTGAAGGCTCAAATCTTATGTGGGGAATGAATGCTGTGTGTCCTGCAAATTCTCCTCCCAGAATGCGTACTTCTAAAACTCGGGAAGAGGCACGGGTGAGGATTGCCCGGGTTCCATTGCATTGTCCATTTGCTGGATCAATATTTCGAAGGATCATTACTGGTGCACCTATCTTGAGTTTCAATTTTGCTTAGTGTTTGAAAGTCCGGTTCGGTCCGGTTTTTTGATGCCCAGGGGCATTAACCGTAACCGTAACCGGTCTGCCTTTTCCCCAGAAGTCAAAAGACCAGACCGGACCGCAAAAAGACCGCAGACCGCGGTTTTTTGCGGTCTATAGACCGGTTTCGGTCTGCATCGGTTTTAACCGGTTTATGACCGGTCTTTAGGCCAATATTTTAAAATTATGAATCGGTAAATTTATTAACATCTCTAATAGCTTCAAAACGAGCGCAAGAACGTTAAATTCCATTAGGAATTGGTGCTTCTATAAAATAAGTCTGGTACATTTATTATTCCCAAAAGTAATTTACATTTTAATTCATATCTCTCTCGTTTTTTTACCAAATCGTACGTTCTTGGGTGCGTTTTAAAGGGTATTTAAGGGGCTACAAAAGACTGGTCCAAACCGGTCAAGACCGGTTCACGTTAACCGGTTTTTTTGCGGTCTTTACATTTCAAAAATAAAAGACCGTAACCGCAGGTCCGGTCTTTTGCGGTCTTGGTCCGGTCTGGTTACGGTCTTTTTCCAGTCACGAGACCGGACTTCCAAACACTAATTTTGCTAGAGGCATTCCACTAAGGTTGATGGAATTGAGGTATTCTACTGGGTATTCAAATTCACCATCCACACCTCCTTCTCTCATAATAGAGTCTGCTGAGTGAAATGTAAATTCATTTCCACACATGCGTAATGCCTGTAAATGAGCAGGTAAGTGTGGATACTGAATACCATTTTGGTTAGGATGCCCCATATTCTGGAAAAAAGCTTGTTAGACAGATGGAAAATAGCCTAATGGTTTTTCTTACCACATCTACCATAGCAGCAGGTGGAAATAGAGGTGGAGGGGCAGCAAGGGGGGCAGCATGAGCCTAAAAGATATATTAAATATTAGAAAAAGAGATATAACTCTGCAACCTACCTGATTTTGCAAATTACCCACTTGTGCAGCCATCCCAGGAGTAAGGTGAAGAATTTGACCATTATATAGAACCTCAACAAATGGATCATCACCTACAGGACCTTGAGGAATTTGAAAAGGAGCAACAGGGGGTGGAATAGGGAAAGGAAGAATAAAAGGTACACCACCACCAACAGCAGGATTTTGAGGTGTTCTCCTATGCTCAGGACTTTCCAACATCCTTTCTTGATGCTCTCTTGCCCTCTCAATATTTCTATGCCTTTGTGGAGTATTAGGAGGAGAATCCCTAGGGAATAAATGATAGTTAAGTAATAAAGGCAGGGAGCAAAAGAAATATCCTACATCAAGACCAAAAGGACAACTGAAGCATATATTCTGATTACCAAAAAAAAGAGAAAAAGATCCACATATTGAAGCAACTAACCAATCAGCAAAACCTTGTGAAATCCTATCATCAAAAGTGATCAGAAGCAATCCAAGTGGACAAAATGTCAATTGAAGGTGTCTAAAAATAGTTGAAGGCTTTCCATAATGATCAAAATGTTATCCAGAAACTTACAAAATAATGTATCAGAGTTCGTGGTGGTTCGTGGAACAGTGAGGCAGGAGCAGCCTGAAGCCGTGTTACAAGGGGGTGTCGGGATTTTAAAAAAAGACCTAGGGTCGATTTTTTTTTTACTGAGTGCTTGGCTGAACCAACCACCCAACGTAATCAGGCACGTGTCTACTTTAGGAAATATGACGTCACCACCGCGCCGCCTTCCCTCCTCGTCCTCCTCTCGACGTTGAACATGCATCGCAGACCCAATTCTTGGGCACCTGCTCAAGGTAAACACAAATGAGGTGATACTAGAATGGTTTGACGCGAAGATGTGAGTAAGTTCAACGTTAAAATCCTGACAAAAAGCTGGTTTACTTACCCACACAGTTTCACATCCAATTCTCTTGCACTGGATCACGTTGTTGGCGGTCGGCTCTGCTCGGGATCCAGACAAGCAATCGTCCAATCCTCCAATGTCGACAATCTTACGTTTTCGTCTTTCGCGCCGACCTACTGTTTCCTGGCTGACAATCTCTGAGCTTGAAGTAGATGGCCTACTAGGAACCTCGTTGGTGTCAGAATGAGTCGCAGCGTGAGCCTCCTGTTGCATGGATTCTCTCGGTGAGTTTACGTGCCCTTGTTCAACTGGAATATGCTAACAAACCAAAATTAAAGGTCGTTAATGGTTGCGACACTACCGAAAGTAAGAAATTCGCTCACCTGAAAATTGTCCACTGACGTGGATCTTGAAGTCGCAAGATCAACTGTATTCGGACCTTGCAGCACGTCCACCGCTTTTTCGATTACGCCGCCGCTGCTCGTCTCACCTTCCAACGCGAGCATACCCAGATTGTCAAGTGCCAGTTCCGTGTCCTTTGGGAAATCCGATGTTTCGGCGCTACCCATCAACTCTTCGGAATCTGACTCAGATTCCGAAGAACTTTCACCCTCACTTTCCACCTCGTCTTCGTCTGACACCCTTTCAGGTTCCTTGCCTTTGCTAAGGACACATCAATTTTCGGCTACTTTCCCAACGATCAGAATGCAATCGATTGCACAAGGGAGGGATATCAATGCTCAGTCCAACAATTTCCAATATCATATGTTATTATTGTCTTACGTAAGGAGTCTCGTTTGTGTTTTTTGGCGCATCCTGAGGCATTTAGCACACCTAGAGGCTTTCTAGTGTCTATTATGTTTAATTTACCTACCAGGAAGGCCGTCTATACTGTTTTTGGGCCAAAATCTTTGAGGTTCCAATTTTTTTTTAACGGCCTGAGGGCCCAACCAACCAACCGGCCCCCGGTCCGGGATTATGATCCCGACACCCCCTTGCCATGTTAAGTCTTGTGAGGGTGTGAAGTGCTTAGTAAGATAAAGCTGAATTTGTCAGCCATCAATCCTTTGTGTTTTCATGTACAAGCTTTAGACCCGCACCTATGGTGCAGCACTCGCTAACGCTCAGCTGTGCCTCTGGTGCTGGTCACAGCTTGCTGGGGGCATGGCCCCTGGACCCCCTGGTACACATGTTTAATCTCAGTTTTGGTACACATTTTTTATCCCAGTTCATGTTTAATCCCACTCCTGGTACACATATTTAATCCCACTTTCAGTACACATAGTTAGACTTAAACCTGGACTTATACTACAGCACTCACTTCACTCAGTCATGCCTTGCCAGAGGCAAGCTGTTCCCCCAGCACACATGTTTGTTTCCAGTTCTGGTACCCATCTCTAATCCCTGTTTTGTTACTTACACTTTATTTCACTTCATTTGAATTTTCAAAGATACACTTTAACCTACAGTGGCACTCATTGCACTTGGCCAGCTTGCCAGAGGCAAGCCCTTGGACTATCTGATACAATAGTGGAATGCAGAGTTGATGTCACAGCCACTAAAATGGGTCACGACAACTTGTCCGCTAAATCCCACAATACAGAAAATCTGTGAAAGTTGGACTTTGTATCACTTTCTGTCTTGAGGGCCTAACCAATCAGGCAGACTTGGGGCAGACTTCAAATTGAGACATACTTTCCTGTTAAATTACCTCTATATGTGATGCCATACCTAATTTCTACATAACAAAGATACCATTCAGTAAGAAAGAGATTGAAATTTTCACACATTTTGGGAATTTTACAGTGTTCCTCAATGTAAAAGATCTGGTATGTACAGAGCATGCCATGTGGCCATCAGGGATTTGAAACTCAGTCAAAGCTGTAGCAGGTGTGTCAATGGTCAGTTGTAGTGAGGGCATTTACCTGTTGGAGTTGATTCACTAAGGAAAGTTGTTGCGTGGTGAAAAAAAGCATAGTGTTGTGGCCACCACATCAACTCTGCATTCCACTAATATAACAGTTGTGGTGTACATGTTGCTCAAAGTTACAGTTTCTGCACCTATGGTGTGGACCCCCAGTACACATGTTTAATTCCAGTTTTGGTACACATCTTTTATCCCAGTTCCAGTGCACATGTTTAATCCCACTTCTGGTACACATATTCAACCTCCATTCTGATACATATTCTTTATTCCAGATCTAGTGTATATCTTTCATCTGAATCATCAATGTTAGGCTTAGACCTGGACACAGCAATCACTTCGCTTGGCCATGCCTGAGGCAAGCTGTCCCCCCCAGTACATATGTTTATTCCAGTTCTGGTGCACATTTTCAATCTCTCTTTTTTTTTTTTTGGTGAAGCTATGTAGCATACAACAGTTAACAGTGTTATCCTTGTATGCAAGCATCAAGGACAGGGGATTGCACCCTGTTGGAAGAATGTCAACTCACCCCAAGGAATTGTGGCTAGGCAGGCTCACACTGGAGCAGTGTGGGACTCAGAGCAGCCACATTGTGTAAAGCTAGCAGTTGCAGCCTGGAGGCCACCCTACTCTCATACCCACTAAAACCCCAGCTTCTGGTACTTTCATCTTATTAAATTTGAAAATTTAAAATTATGCTCTGACCTGCACCTATGGTTTGGCACTCACTGCAGTTGGCCAGCTTGCCAAAGGGAAGTCCCTTGGACTATCTCATAAAAATCTGATAGCTGTGGTGTACATGTTTCTCAAAGTTATACTAATCTCTGTTTTGGTACTTACACTTTATTTGAAATTTTCAAAAATACACTTTAACCTGCAGCAGCCCTGGCTGCACTTGGCCAGCTTGTCAGGGCAAGCCCCCTGGACCTCCCAGTGCATATGTTCAATCCCAGTTCATTTTATCTTAATCATCAAAGTTAACCTGCCCTCATTCAAATTTTTATTCTAATCCAAATCATCAAAGTTACATTTAGATCCACACTTATATAGTCCTACATTTGGTACTGTAACTGCAGTCAGCAGTACAAAGCTGGCCATAATTTTTGATTTTTCAACACTATACCATGCACCATGAATTACAGTTCAGTAGGCCACTGATGAAAATCTGTAGAGCAACTAAAATCCACCTGAAATTTAATCAGCATAGATCTCAAAGTAGGAGAAATATACACTAACAATGAAGTGGGGGGTAAAAAATAGTACAGAAAAAGCGAAATTGAGGCTGCTCAGAGAGGTGTGACCACAAAAACACTCACAAAAAATTAATGCAGGATCTTACTATTACAGAATGAGGTTGGGAGCTACCAATACAAAATGTTCTGTGGTTGTGGTCACACCGTGTGACATTCCCGGGAAACGCCGCTGATGCGGCTCAGTAAAAGACAAAGAGGCTGCTTACATGATCTATTACATAATAACTGTCAACCGTCCTCTCTTTATATATTAGATAGAACAAGCTTTAGACCCGCACCTACGGCGCAGCACTCGCTAATGCTCAGCCGTGCCTCTGGTACTGGTCACAGCTTGCCGGGGGCAAGCCCCCTGGACCCCCTGGTACACATGTTTAATCCCAGTTTTGGTACACATTTTTTATCCCAGTTCATGTTTAATCCCACTTCTGGTACACATATTTAATCCCACTTTCAGTACACATAGTTAGACTTAAACCTGGACTTATACTACAGTACTCACTTCACTCAGTCATGCCTTGCCAGAGGCAAGTTGTCCCCCCAGCATACATGTCTGTTTCCAGTTAGTGATGTGCCAGGCCTGGCCCAAAGCAAGGTCGTACCTCACTTTGGAGAGGTACAGTAACCTTGCATGCTCATAATCGTTGCCAGCACCATCCTGGCCGAAGTTTTCTCTGCCATGGCTTCAGGAGAATATGCTGGAACTAAAGTGACTTTGATACTGAACTTCACAGCAGCCTCGAGATGGTGTAAGTACTGGTTAAGACTGATAAATATTGGAATAGAAGAGAAATATTCAACCTCTTCTCTGAAAGTCTGCAAAAGTAGTGAGGTCAGTGATGAGTCCAAGCAAGTGTGAGATGCTTAGATACCTCATATGATGTTTCCAGATGGTATGCCTGAACCTTGATGTCCTAATTGTCCCAATGTGATGAGCAGCAGAGATAGGGGGTGCAGTGTTTGACATGGAGGTGCACTTGTAGAAATTTTGTTGTGGGTTCAAGACTAATTGATTGATTGTATGTGTTTTTTTGACTTTCGCCCATAAGCCAGCCTTGAGCCTTGCAAAAAGCTCAGGCTTGAGTATGGTCAAGCCTGAGCCACCCAAAGTCGGGCCATAGCCATGGCTTTCAGGCCAAGCCAGGCCTGCACATCACTATAAATTCCAGTTCTGGTACACATCTCTAATCCCTATTTTGATACTTACACTTTATTTCACTTCATTTGAATTTTCAAAGATACACTTTACAGACAGTGCTTTCAGAGTAGGATGGAAAAGTGTGATTTTTTGTAAGCATGTGTGACATATGTAGTTTCCCTTTGAGGAATTGTCTGCCTCACACTGCCTATGCATCTTATCACCCTTCTGCTCAATCCCTCATCCCCTAATGCTATGGGGTTTCAAAATATAAGCTCTGATATGTATTATTGTTATGAAGGAGTGGGCTTGGCTGGGCTAAGGTGGTTTGCCCCTTATTTTCAAAAGGGAAACTACATATATTACACATGCTTACAAAAAATCACACTTTCCCATCCTACTCTGAAAGTTCTGTAATCTGCAGTGGCACTCATTGTGCTTGGCCAGCTTGCCAGAGGCAAGCCCTTGGACTATCTGATACAAATTTAATAGTTGTGGTGTACATGTTTCTCAAAGTTACACTTTCTGCACCTATGGTGTGGACCCTCACTACACATGTTTAATTCCAGTTTTGGTACACATCTTTATCCCAGTTCCAGTGCACATGTTTAATCCAACTTCTGGTACACATATTCAATCTCCATTCTGATACACATTTATCCCAGATCTGGTGTATACCTTTCATCTGAATCATCAATGTTAGGCTTAGACCTTAGACCTGGACACAGCACTCACTTCGCTTGGCCATGCCTGCCAGAGGCAAGCTGTCCCCCCAGTACATATCTTTATTCCAGTTCTGGTGCACATTTTAAATCTCTGTTTTGGTACTGACATCTCATCAAATTTAAATTATTTAAATTATGCTCTGACCTGCACCTATGGTTTGGCACTGACTGCACTTGGCCAGCTTGCCAAAGGGAAGACCCTTGGACTATCTCATAAAAATCTGATAACTGTGGTGTACATGTTTCTCAAAGTTATACTAATCCCTGTTTTGGTACTTACACTTCATTTAAATTTTCAAAAATACACTTTAACCTGCAGTGGCAATGGCTGCACTTGGCCAGCTTGTCAGGGCAAGCCCCCTAGACCTCCCAGTGCATATGTTCAGTCCCCATTCTGACACACACATTTTATCTTAATCATCAAAGTTAAACTGCCCTCATTCAAATTTTTATTCTAATCCAAATCATCAAAGTTACATGTATATCCACACCTATATAGTCCTACATTTTGTACTGTAACTGCAGTCAGCAGTACAAAGCTGGCCATATTTTTTGATTTTTCAACCCTTGGCTATGGCTTACACAGTACCATACCATGCATCATAAATTACAGTTCAGTAGGCCACTGATGAAAATCTGTTGAGCAACTAAAATCCACCTGAAATTTAATTTGCATAGATCTCAAAGTAGGAGAAATATACACCATCAATGGATATAGGGAAGTGGGGGGTAAAAAATAGTACAGAAAAAGCGAAATTGAGGCTGCTGTGACCACAAA